TTAAACCTGGTTCTAGCTAATGAGAAACTTAGCCCAGAGATGTCCCAGTGTCAAGGTGTGGAAATCCAGTACTTTCCTGAATATTTGTGCTGTACAGGACTTAAACGAGGACCAAAATTTACATATTTGAAGAGGGAACCAAACAGCTGAGGTAGATGCCATATTTAGTAGTGCAATATAATTTCTCTGGGAAGCAGTAGACCAGTAATCTGGGAATTTTGGCCATCATCCTGCTACTATTTATGAGCAATTTTAATGTAGTAATTACACATAGGGAAAATTTTTCACTAGGTTGACGAGATAAATGGAAATTTAATTTTTTTCTTGTTTGGTTGTCCAGTATTTTTATTACATCCTTCTGGAAGCAAGGGGGTATAATTAAAGAATCTGCAACTGCACTGCGCCTTGGAAAAACTGATATTTTGAAAGATTTGCTCAGTGTAAGTTAAAGGCAGCTCATTAAACAAACAAATGAGCTGTCCTTAGAGCAATCAGTATTTACTATTAACTGAACAGCACAGTAAATAATGAATTGCAGGTAAGGAACTACAGATAAGTATTTGCAGTGAATTCAAATTACTTGCCTTAAGCCTGAGGCAGAGAAAAGCAAATAGAAGGATAGAAATGGAGAGAGGAGGGGGAGAGTAAAAGGGAGAGGAGGGGTTGTGAATGTAACATTTGTTGCATCAATACATGTTCATTCATTTGGTAGGAGGAAGGTTTTCTTTGGCAATCTGGTGCCCCCCTCCCTGGTCCAAGGGATGCTGCAGCCAGCTCCTTGTGAGAACAAAGGAGGGGCTGGAATTCCTGGGAAAAAGGAGAAGGGAAGGCTTTGGGGAGACCTCATAGCCTTGCAGAACCTTAAGGGGGTCACAATAAGGCTGGAGAGAGACTTTTCCCAAGGGCACGTCCTGATGGGACAAGGGGGAATGGCTTCACACTGACAGGGGGCAGGGTTGGATTGGATACTGGGAGGATGTTCTTCCTTGTGAGGATGGTGAGGGACTGGCACAAGCTGCTCAGAGAATCTGTGGATGCCCCACATCTACAAGGTGTTCAAGGCCAGGTTGGATGGGGCTTGGAGACACCTGGGCTGGTGAAAGGTGTCCCTGCCCGTGGCAGGGGTGGAACGGGATGGGCTTTACAGTCCCTTCCAACCCAAACCACGCAACAATTCCATGAAAAGCAGGAGCTCTGGGCCTGACCCAGCAATGCCTCAGAGCAGGGCTGGTGTTTTCACCACGGCAGGATTTTGCAAGGTGCTCTCTGGCACTTACCCACCCCCAAGGACAGAGCTGTGCTTTGGCACCAGCGAGACCGAAACCTGTCCACAGCTGCCAAGTGCCTGCACAGCTCCCTCATTTCTGCCTCCAAATTACTTAAGCAGCTAAATTGTTTGTTTGCTAGGAGCTGGCACAGGATGAGAACTTTTGGGTTGGAGTTTAATCATCACAGGAGGGAAAGATTGTGCTGTCTGAAGTTTGGTAACGCGGCTGTGTTTGAAGCCGGGATGGATGGGCTGTCTGGATGGATGGATGGATGGATGTCTGGGCACCTGATGGAGGATGTCTGATATGGCTCATTTAGGAAGGGGCTCGGGGTTGTTTGGGTGCTGGAGATGAGAGGGGAGGTTGGTGATTTAATCAGGATTTAATGCAGTTTCAGCTGAGCTGTGGGCCTGAGGCTTGGTGGGACAGCCAAGGGCGTGACAGCCATCCTAAACACCTACAGCCATCCTAAACACCTACAGCCATCCTAAACACCTACAGCCATCCTAAACACCTACAGCCATCCTAAACACCTACAGCCATCCTAAACACTTACAGCCATCCTAAACACCTACAGCCATCCTAAACACAGCCATCCTAAACACCTACAGCTTGGCAGCCCTGTCTATAGTCACCTTAAATAAGGTTAATAGCCTGGCACAGCTCTCTGCTGGGAGGATGAGTCTCACCTGTCCATCTGTTGAGGACCAGCATTGGGTACAGAAGAGACTGGTTGAGTGGGGCACATCGGGGGAGATGTGGATAAAGGATTGGCATTCCATAATAACTGCTGTCAGCCCAGATAACACCTCTGCTACTCCATTAGGGGTAATATGTATGACACAGGAACAGGAGACTTATCTTGCTGGATAGTTATCACTTAGGCAAACACCTCCACGAAGATGGAGGTGCTTAATTCCTCTTGCTTAATTCCTCTAACACCGGGACTGCATTTTAGGGAATCCACCCCAGAATAAACCAGCCAAGGTAAAACACAGTGCAGGGAGATTTCCAAGTGGCCTCTGGAAGTATCTGCTGTTTGTGCAAAAGTCCAGCAGCACCAGTCCCCCTGTGCTGGCTGCTTCCCAATGCTGGTGCTGTCAGCCCCTGCATTAGTATTCCAGCCAGGGAAGAGGAGCGAGGCGCTAGACAGGCCAACTAATTACAGCAGGCTGCAGAGGCAAGTCGTGCTGTACCACAGGATAAAGGATATCCTGCTTATTTGGAATGTTTCTGCTTTGCTCTGTCACTTTATTAAAAAAAAAAGGAAAAAAAATAAGGTGTGAGCTGATGGGTTTGGGTAAGGAATAGAGTTGTGTTTCTGGCTTTTAATTTTTTCTTGAATTTAATCTGAATCTGCACAATGCTTTGTAACACTGATATAAAAAGAAACTTGCTGCTGCTCAGCCTGTGACCTTAGCAGGCTGAAAACCTCCTGGAATCCCAGCTCTCCTGCCTCTGGTGGCATCCTGACCTGCCCACTCCAGTCCCCAGAGCTGCCAGCAGATGGGGGAGAGGAGGATTTCACTGCCATGGATGTACCATCTGCAGGCAGCAGCACTGGTCGGGTTTTTATGAGCCTAAATTGCAATTCTGTGTCCAGAGGGTTTGCTGTCAGAGCATCTGTTTTGCTGTGGCTGACACAGATCTGGAGCTGAGTGTCTGCCAGGAGCAGGTGAGGGAGGGTGGCAGCCCCGTCCTGCGGTGACAGCAGCCATCAGGTGGGGCTGCTCCGTGTCCTGGGTGCCCCCCAGGCTGTCACACAGCCCAGCTTTTAGCAGGCTGAGGGTTGGAAAGGTCCATTAGTCACAAGTTAGAGCCAGGAGAGCTCAGATTGTGGGAAATACTGACTGCCACAGAACAGAACCTGCTGATGTTGCCTGATCCAGCCTGATCTGCACTCAGGCACAGCCTGGGGGGGTGGCAGCAAAGCCAGAGGGTCTCTGTCCCCTCTGGTGCCCTTCTGCACCATCCCCCTCTGTGAAACCAGCACTAAGCAGATTAGTCAGGTCCTTCCATCAGCAAACACTCACTGCCTAAGATACTTATAAGACATCTGGTTTTTAGCCTCGTTTCTAAACAAATGAGGCTTATGTGATTATGGTGTCTGTCGCCTGCCCCTCGTTGGCCAATTTCCACCTTCACCCAAGGATTTTGGTCTCACAGTCCTTACCTTCCAGGAAGTTTTCATGAGCTGGGGAACCACATGAACAGAAATTACCCCGGAGGAAGGGCCGCAGCACAACCTGTTGCTGAATTCCAAGAGCTGAAGCGAGAGGGAGCGTGCTGGGTAAAAAGGGGAATCTCTGCTTTATGCCTGTGTTTTGTAGAGGTCCAGCAAACCAAAAGTGAGGAGAAAACCCTGTGTGTGTGGGCTGTGGCTCAGCCCTGTCCCTGCTCCATCTGTGCTGGGCAAGGACGAGCATCCCCAGGTCCCACCTCCCCCCTGCCCCCAATGCCAACTGCTCCCGGTGATCCCAGGATTGCTTTTCTGATCCCTGGATTAACTGGGTGGGATGTGCAAAGATCCAAGAGCTGTGTTTGAGCCAGGCTTAGTCTGGAAATGCACTGCCATAGTTGTGCAGCTCTGCCTGTGAACTTGGTGGCAGGAGTCAGAGCTCACTGTGTGCCCAGGGCTGGGGGTTTGGTCCTTTGCTCCAGCATAGCAGACTTGTCTTAAAAATGGCTCTTGTTATCTTGTTATCCGGGATCTAAATTCTCTTGGGACTGATGTCCCTTAGCCTTATGAGTTCGAGGATGCACAGGTACAAAACACCTTAGAGTGGTTCAGAATTCACTGAGATACCGTGAATGAAGGCGCATGAAATCCTCTGTGCACCCCCATCTGTGGAACCAAAGAATCACAGACTGTTTGAGGTTGGAAGGGACTTCAAAGGCCACCCAGTGCCACCCCCTGCCATGGGCAGGGACACCTTCTACTAGCCCAGGTTGCTCCAAGCCCCGTCCAACCTGGCCTTGGACACTTCCAGGGATGGGGCAGCCACAGCTTCTCTGGGCAACCTGTGCCAGGGCCTGCCCACCCTCCCAGGGAACAATTTCTTCCTGTTTGATCTAAAGCAGACTTTCGCTTCTCTGTGAATTACACTTGAATGCTCATTAGCATTGGATATGTCTCCTTTTAGCAGCTAAAAGACATTTTTGCCTTGTAATGATTAACCTAAGGGTGTATAACGGAATGTGTGAAACCTACCTATAGGAGTTCTGGGATTATGGAGGAAAAGCAAATGTTTCATGTTCTGGTCCTTATTAATGAACTAAATGAGATTGTGTCCTTTTTTTTTAAGCATAAATGAAAGATAAAAGACAGATGAGATTTATGAACAAGGTCATTAGTGTACCAAATTTCTCTCATTAGATCTGTTACATTACTTTCCAACTTACACAACTCTCATTAGAAAAATTTATGAACTGGAATGATTACAAATATACTAAACCATCCCTACTTTTAATTGCAAAAAAAAAAAAAAAACAAAACAAAAAACCACCACCATTATACATCTGTGCTATAATAGAGTTGTACTTTTTTGTATGTGTGTTTTTGTTAGAGATGTAATAGGGATTATTCTTGAAACCAAGGGATGGAGGGAGAGGAGAGGAAATTGGACCACTTAGTGCAATTTGCAGTTTAGCTGAAGCATTTATTTAATTTATAACTCTGTTAGACCCAAGTTAATTTTACAGGCTAATATTGTTGTTTCATCTCCTCACTAGACTTCCACTTTCACATCCCTACGTCCTATTTGAAGTGACTGGGAGAGGAAGCACCAGGTATCTCTCATTCTGTTTGGACTCCTTGTTTACAGAAGAGTGATGGAGATGCTATTAAGCACAAAAGGCATCCCCATATGCCTGTTTTTCTTTGTATTGAGTTTGGCAGCAGCTATTGAAATACCATTATCAGGTGAGTTGTAGCTATTTGCTGTACACTTTGCTGTTTTGTTTGATATCCCTTCTTTTTTTTTTTTTTTTTTCCTTTTAAACTTCCCCTGAAGAAAAAATATTAAATCCTCCTTTCCAGTTGTTCCATTTTAAATTTAATCCTGCCACAACCTGGCCGTTGGGAAATTCAGGTGTGATTCAAAGTAAACTACTCCGCTTTTTCCTGTTTAAATGCAGCAGTGAACTTGTCTAATAACATATATCTGGTGTTTGCCATCCAACACACAGCTTAGCTCCGAGGGTTTGGGTTTATCCTTCATATAAATTCCTCATTTTGGCACTGAATCTCCCCCCAAGCTTGTTTGATGTACATATATCCTTGCTTTCTTGTCTTTCAACCTGCCATTCCAGCCTGGAAAAGGAGCAGGTGTGTGGCTCAGGGTGGATGTTGCTCCCCAGGGGGGTATTTTGTACACCTTGTACCCCCCCCCCCCCTCCCCCTCCAGGGAGCACCTCCTGCATCCTTCTCTGGCTGTGGTGCATTTAAACTGCCTGTTTTACACGGTCCATGTGCTTCCAGGACACGTGTAAAATATGGGATGAGGCTCATAGGGAGAAATCTAAGCAAAGCCAGAGGACCCCACTGCCTGGAGAACAGCCAGGACCTCTGAGCTTTGCATTTTCCAAACATAAATGGACTAGGAGGGTTGCAAAGTACACAAGGTTTTTGGTTTGGCTTTTTTTTAGGGGAGAGGCTTGGTGTTAAACAGCCTTAACAAAGCAAAACTCAACAATATTTGGGTTTATGAATTATGGGAATAATTCATAAGGGAAAGGCCCTGTAGGCTCCTCGTAGGGTTTTGAGGGATGTGGCCTCAGAGCAGGACAAGAGGCAGTTTTGGGGCATCCTGTGGAGCTGTCAGCACTCTGGAGCTGCCAACAGCCCTGGCTGCAAAGGGGAAGGCAGCCAAGCAGGGTTATAGGAGATTTTTTTTCAAGCTGTCCCAATTTGCATCGTAAAGTAGAGTTTTTGGGGTTTTTTTTCAGGAAGGTTCTGCAGCAGCTCCTTGAGTTTCAGTAAAACCGAAGTGGAGCTGTGGCTGTGAAGTGCAAGACAGACTGCCTGGGCACCCACTGCTTTTACATGAGGGAGCCACATCACCATTAACTTGCTCTAATGAAGCATTTTATATTTTAATACAAAGAGTTATTTCTGATCAGTGAAATAACTGTTCAGCTTTGAGACCACATGGCGCGATAAGACACCACATTTCGCTCCACCTTGGAGCTTCCAGGACTCCGAACAGCAACCAGAGAGCATGTTAATTCTCTTCCTGGCTGTTTGTAACAATGTGATGATCCCATTATCCCCAGCCCTGCTGCAGGGAGCGTTCTCCCTCGTGTGGCTCCCTCACACAGGCATTTGCAACACTTTAATTCCCTCAGAAAAAAAAAATAATATGTTAGTGCAACATCCTTGCGTGACAATGTGAGCGGTAACTCTGCACCCTGGAGGGGTATTAACTCATCCTTGCAGTCCATGGATTTCCTGGCAATTCTATCCAGGATGGAGATACAAGTTTGCTGTTTCACACGTGTGAATCTGTGTCTGGATTAAGAGCCAGTTATTGCCTTCCCCCATGAATAAATTTCCCAGCCCACAGCCCCGTGCTTTGGCTGCAGCTTTAGCACAGCCCCAGCTCTGCTGTGCCCTGGGCAGGTTGGCCAGGGGAGTGTGAGCAGGTGAAGCCTTTCCTTGGCCGCTGGGGCAGTGCCAGTGACCAGGCTGGGGGAGCAGAGAGCATTGTCCATGCCAGGAGGACGGTGATCATCTTTTTATTCAGGCAGGGCTCCCTTTTGGCAGGAGCGGGACGACCCTGCCATCGCCCCTTTCAAAGGAGGGACCTGAGGGAGCTCAGATTTGCTTGAGTGCTGATTTAACCCCCAAACCCCTTTGTGCTCCAGTTTCACAGCTTCCAACCATCACGGAGCAATCCCACACCCAGGTTGCCTACCCCTTTGATGAGGACTTTACAATTAAATGTGAAGCCAGAGGAAACCCGCAGCCCATGTGAGTAGCGCTGGGAGAAGCAGCAGAAGCAGAGTTTGCTTTTAACCTTTGTCAGACAATGTTCTTAATGTGGCTGGTGCACATTAACCTGCTCATTTGCGTGGTTAAGGTTTGGGTTTCCACCTGGGCCATTCAGTTTTTGTTGCTCTATCATTTCCCCTCACTCTGTGAGTAGGTATCAACCTGTGGTTTTGTTGTGGTTTTTTGTTTGTTTGTTTGTTTGTTTGTTTCTGGGATATTTTCCATTTCTCTGGCATGTTCTAAGTTCACCCCCTGATTTAAAAAAAAACCCTGTCTGGGCTGTGCTGCAAAAGATAGGAGGTGTGTACTAATAATCAAAGGAGCCCAGCTGCTCTTTCTGCCTTTTCCACAGCCATCCTAAAAATACCAAACACATTAAATCATGTATTCAGACATCACATTTGCATTTTATCAGATAACTTGTCTGTACCTGATATCACCAGGGCCGTGGTGATGCTACAAATGGACACATAAGGAGTCACTCAAATAAATATCCAAAGATAAGCTTTATGTATTTTACAGTGGTGTAGAAAAGAGAAAGATTTTAAATGAAAATGTGATTAACTAGAATGTAATAATAACACAGTAAAAGCTCCTCCTGAGGCTTTCCACACTGAATAGGATAAATTAATAGCTGGTTTGCATGTCATTTTTACTCTTTAATCCTTCCCTTCTCCTTTCTCTGCAACACAATTTAAACTTTAAAAAGGTTTTTTTGTGCCTTATATCAAGGTTACTTGATCACTTGTAATTGAGCTCTGAATGGGGATTTGTAGCATGATAACAAATTCCCTTTGTTTCACAGATTGTCAGTGCATCAATGAGAAGTTTTCTGTTCTATTTAAATGATGTGGTAGTGCCTGTTGGGTGATAGGAACCCAGATTCCCTCCATACTGCAGCAAGGCAGTTTTGCCAAGACCAGGGAAGTGACAAAATATACAGTTTTGTTGACATTAATTTATTCTCTTGAAACAATACTCTTTAAAAAAAAATGCATGTATTTTTCTCCCACTAAATGCATGTATTCTAATTTCCAACTGTCAGATTTTGGATCAGCGTAGCCAAATTTTGATCCATCTGAGAATTCCAGATAGGGGACATGTGACTAATATTTCAGCACTCATCAAAATCACACCCCAATAACATTAAAACTACAGGTGTTTCTGTGGCAAAGGAGGAGCTCAGTGGGATCACTTCGGTTTCTTCTGGGTCCAGCCATGGGAGATGGTGAGAAAAGCTCCTGTCAGCCCCTGCCAGTCCAAAGCACCAGCTCTTCTACAGACACAGCCCTTTGCAAACCTCCAGCTGCTTCCAGGGGGTGGCTCTGGCTTTCCCAGATAGTTCACTGTCCTTGCCTTGAGCTCTGTGTTCCCATTTCACGTCACAGTGAGTTACCCAAAAGCAAAGTGTCCAAGAGGAGAGATGTGCCCAAGAGCCAGCACAAGTCAGAGCAGCACAGTGGTCATTTTGCCCTTCAAATCTCTCCTCTGACGTCTTTTTGTTTCAGTAAAACCCCCTTGGCCCCACAGGTACCCCTGGTTTAATCCCGCAGAGCTGCTCTGGGACCTACCCTTGTAACACTTGTATTATTTTTCAGCTTTAACTGGACTAAGGATGGAAAACCGTTTGACTTGTTATCTGACCCCAGGATAGTTACATCCAACAACTCTGGAACTTTTGTGATTCAAAACCGAGGAATCATCAACAATTTCCAGGGGAAATATCGTTGCTTTGCTTCCAATGTGCTGGGAACTGCCATGTCAGAAGAAATTGAGCTAATTGTTCCAAGTAAGGGTTTTACTTTACTTTTGGGTTGAAATTATTATTGTTATTGCTATTATTACTGTTATTATTAAGATGAGAATGGTGTTTCCTCAAATGAAATGAGAAAGAAGTAGTTCCTAAGGTGGTGTACGGTGAAACATGAACTGTTTGTTATTCAGTGAATATCCAAAGGAAAAGTTCTTATTTGCTTCCTGGAATGACTTAATTTAGTTCCTGGTTTTGAGGACAGAAATCAAATCTGGATGCAGGATTTCAGACAAGACCCCTGGACTGTCAACTCCCAAGTGCAGCTCCTGACACTCCTTCCCAACTGCATACAAATGAAACTGGGTAGATTATGGATATGTTTTTCCCAGATACAGTGTTTTGGAGAACATTTATTATTTACTTTTGCTTTTTTTGAGCATTTTCTGCCCCACTTTGCCTCTAGAGGGTGGGTTAGTGAGTAAATTAGTATCAACTTTTTGATAGCCATCTCAGGAGAGCTGAAAGCTCAACACCAGAAAATGATTGTTTGCTTTGAGCTGGCTTTTTAAATGCCTTTGCCATAAAACCCATAAGAATTCTTTTCTGATTTGTGTTCGTTTAGAGCCACTGCTTGTTCTTGTGATGCTTCCACTTCCTTTTCTGTAAAGAAGAAAGCATAAATATTGATGAGAGTTGTAGGCTGGCAAATTCTCTGACTAATCTGGGCAGAGACAATTTGTTTGTGAGCTGATGCCAGCACACCATGAAAATATAGGAATTAAAATATTTGGAGAGATAAAGCAAATAGCAGAAAATATGACAGAGTAGCTATCTAAGGGCAGTACAGTTACTGAAAGGCATTAGCTGTTCATGAAAGATAAAAGTAATGGGATGGCTCATGAAATAGTGTTACAATGATATTAAAATTCAAAATGTAGTGGGCAATAAAGGATTAGGAAGTTGTTGTCAGAGAAAACAAAACTGATTTGAGTCAAATGACTTTGGTGAAATGTTGTAAAAGGCATTTTGTGAGTTTGGGGAAACTCCTGAATTAAATTTGGCATGATCTCTCTAATACTGGGTAATTTTGTTTGACAAGAAATGAGAAATTATGTGATGCTTTTTGCTTTCCAAACATTTACTGGAAAACGAAAGCTGCTAAGGGTCATAAGACCAACATTTTAGCTCAGCAACTGTGACTGAGTTCTGTTCCCATGGTCCCATCTCAGAGCTGGCAACAGGGAATCAGGAGCTGGGGGAAGGATGGCAGAAATAGCAGGTTTTTACAGCAAAATAGCAAGAGATGCAAAAGTTTGAAAGCTCCAGTGGAAGTGACTCAGTCAGCTGGGAGTTCATTAGTCTGATGTCAGGAGCACTCTGGGTTTGGGATAATAAACACTTACAGGGAGGATATGAAAGGCCTGGAACCGAGTGGAAAACGAGCTCAAAAATACGGCAGCGAAAATTAGCGATCCTGGAAACTCGTCCTTCCATCACCGGCACAGATGGGGAAATGAGGGATTAAGGACCAGGAATGCAGAAGTGGGATGAAATTTATGGATATAAAATTCAGGGTCCTGTTTAGGACAATGTTATAGAGTCAAAGAATTGTTAAGGTTGGTAAAGACCTCAAAGACCTCTGAAGATGGTGGAGTCCAACATTAACCCAGCACTGCCAGGTCCAACACTAGACCATGTCCTGAAGCTGATACAAGTGTCTTTGGACCAACACATTTCATCACTTTTAGTTTGGAAGACGAACACACAATTGTCTTAAATTCAGGATTGAAATATATGAAACTAGAGGAGAAAAATCTGAAGCAGAACTTTCCTAGTGGGAGCAGAAAGGAGAAGAAAGTTCCCTGGCTCTGGGATGGGAGACCATGGAACAGGCTGTTCAAAGCAGTTGTGGGATGTAGAGGAAGAAGAGATTCAGCAATGAAGTGGGATTTTTTTTCCAGGTTAGATCCTGCATTTCCAAGCTCCTCCTATATTTTGTTATCAAATATCTGACAGCCCTTTGCACGGCTGGAATTGGTGTGTCCACGTGGCAGGGGATTCCTCCACAGCCTTCTCAGCCTCACAGGGCCAGGACATGAACTGCTGAACTAAAAAAGATGCTTGAAATGGAAAACAATGATGTCTGTATTTGGGCTTATCGAATTTTTACTCAGAGCGGATATTTTTTGCTTTTAATGAAAAATTGGCTGTAGTAGCTTGAGTAGATATTAAATATAGTGGGAGCACTTAGCAACAAATTCACTGAGAGGTTACAAACACGGTTGTTATCGAGTGCAAGAGGAATTTTAGAGCTAATATATGCAAAGTCCTAAACCCAGGAAATAAATACATGGTGCAGATAATCTATTAGAGGGATTTACCCAACTCATACATCTCCTAAAGCACATTTGCTGTTATTAGTGCTCTTCTGCCATCAGTTCTTTCATTTAACGGTGCGGCGTAGACGCTGCAAACAAAATCAGGATTCAGAGAGGAACAGGAGGCACATTTGGTTTTCTAAAGTGCTGGATGGTCCACGACTGTGGCCAAGTGAAGGAGCTGCTGGTGCACAGATCCGCTGTAAATCAGCGATCGCCGATGGGGGAGCTGGGGATAAATCACCTCCTTTCACCCCCCGGGTTTTGAAGCGGAGACTGGTACATGTGAGATCACTCCACGCATTCATGGAATGATGCAGAGGTGGCAGAGCTTTGCCAGCTGCATTCAAGTCAAATGTAAAGCTGCTTGGCAAGTCGCTGTGCCAGCGAAGGGAAGAAAACCCCAGCGAGCCAGAGAGGGCCAGTTTCTTTCATAAATTACATTTACACTGCAGCAGCAGAATACTGGGCCTGTGAGGTGGCTGCTGAAAAGGAGGACAAAAGGCTGTTTACTCACAGTAGTCATTCCAGGAGAGCAATAGAAATGTCAGCAGAAATGATCATTAAATCTCACCTACATAATGAAAATACCCCACCTCCCCTATATAGGCTGACATTAAGGAGAGGGGGAAGAATGGGCTCTGAGGATCTGATCTGTGTGCAGCACTAACAAAGGCCAGATTGTTACAAGATACATGCAGCAGGAAAATGAATTTCAATGGTGAGAACACAGACATCAGCTCCCCTCCTCCTGGATTTTGGGAATCTGTTGCTTGAATTGGTGAGCAGGCCCCGTGCCAGAGGAAGGAGAAGAAGTACAGTTTAAACTTCTTTAATTAACTGTGGTGTAAAAGACTCTTCATGGTAGATTGCCTTAAGATTTATGCTCAGTGTTTCTAAAGCTGCTGCTCCAAAAGCTCAGAGATTTGAGGATGGAAATATAAAACTGTCCAGTGGCAGGCTGTGCTGTGCCAGTGATGTGAGTTCTGGAATTCCCAAAGAAAGCCAAACCTGTGCTAATTTTTAATAACCCAAGTGTGAATATTGTGAAATCAGTAAAAAAATGCTGAGCTGATACTGAATTCAGAGGTCTCAGTGACCCACTTTGTGTTTGGTGTGGCCCTTATGGAAAATTAAACAAAAGAGAGGAACTCAGAGACTTTGCAGGTGATGGAAATAAAATCTACCCCTCTTATGTCCTAAACCCATGTCCTGTACCTGTGAGAACTTTTCTGCCCATCTGAATTGTTGGGTTCACTCTCTTGCCAGCAACCAACATTTTGGGAAGGGTGATAGATTTATACAGGAAAAAGAAATCACTGATTCCACCCCACAGACAGTAGACTGACAGCCACAGTCTTCTTGGCAGCCAGACTTTGGTAACTTTTTCAATTTAATGCAACAATTAAAAAAAAATCCATAAATAAGCAGGACTAAATCTCATAAACAGTTCAAAGGCTGCAATGAAAATTACAGATTTAACTGCTGCTCACGTGGCTCAGAATATCAACTGAGGCACAGAGATGAGCACTGGAAGCTTCCCAAGGTGCATTCAGTGCACCTGTGACTGAGGACTGAAAGTCACATTTCAGATTCTTTGATAATGCTGGGCTGCTTGCTGCACAGGACATAGATCTGCAGGAAAAATCCCAATTAAATGCTAATTAAAGTGTCCAAGGAGCTGGAAAGTGCTAGGATATCAAAATTTCCTGACTGTTTCTACTTTCTCTCGCTTTTACATGCTCTGAGGATTTATTTGCAAGGAAGAATATTGGAATATCCATGATGGGTAGGGCTAAGCATCCCTCTATCCCAGGACAAATCACCAGCAGCATCCACAGAGGAGGTTCTTAAAATAGACCTGGTGGATAGCGATGTTCTTCTACAATAGCTTCCCAATGTATTTGTTTGTTGCTGATTTATCATAAAGGATTGACTCCCATTTTATATCAGATACCTACAGAAACAAGGCACAGGGGTCTCAAGGACGATTTACCTGGAGAAATGCTTCTCCTTCAAGTTCTCAACACTTTGATGAGAAACATGTAAAATGACAGATTGAATGGGGTGTGTTCTCATATAAAGTGGAATAAATTGCCATAATTGGTACAGTTACAGTGTGAAGTCACTGCAGTCAGCAGCAGGACAAAAGCCAAGCTGTGGGACACGGTGTGCCAGTAGATCCTTGAGTTAATCAGCAGTTCTGGGCACTGGAGAACCCACCTCTGGTTGCTGTGTTTGTGAATTTATGCGGCTAAACTCAAACGTGGATTTTATATTGCACTGTGTTGGTGTCCCCCCGTTTGTTTTTGGTTGAGATGCTGCATTTTCTGAGCAGATAAGAAGGAGCAGGGAGGCACACAGGCTCCTTTCTGAATTTTCTCCCAGCCACCCTAATTTGCCAGTGGTGCTTCAGGCTCCTGTCGTTAAACTTTGAGTCACCCCAGGGATTAACAGAGCCTGGCTCCTTGCACAGACGACTCTGGACACTGATAATCTTCCATTTCCATGGTTCACACACTGCCAGAGCACTTTCAGGCTGGTTTGTGAGTGCTGTGCAGCTGTCACGGTGCTGCCTTGTCAGGAATAAATCCTTGGGCAGCAAAGCCTTTCCCAGGGAAAAAAAAAAACAAAACACTCAGGCAGTGAAGCTTTTCCCAGGTATTTTGAGCATTTTAGATGCCATGGAGGGCTTTTGGGAGACGTCTCCATGTCAGGTGTGCAGGTTTCCATCTTCCCCATGGCTGTTCCTGTGATCAGCCACGAATCAGGAGTGATTGATTCTGGAATATCTCCTAATTAGAACATAGGAACACTGCAAAAAAACAAAACAAAATATTGCCTACATGCATGTCCTGGAGTTTGATGTTCAAAAGCCAGAGTCTAATGTGACAGTAGCTTCTTATTTTTAATAAATCAGAATTCAGGGCAGGTCTTTTTCTAGTGTTTGAGGCACTTGTCAGAAGGTTTGGCTCAAGAATTTATTGTGAAATTGAGTCTTTTCCTCTTTTACAAAGCTTCAGGGATTCAAAACACTCAAATTTATGCCTTATGAGAGTGTTTTAATCTTTTTCACGGTGAAATAAGCAAAAAAAAACCAGCAGGGAAGAGCCCAAAAGGCTCAGTCAGCTGGGGTGGAAGTGCTTGTTTGAGGTGGAGGACGTTTGGGGTCAAATTGCTGCTTCCCCCAGTGAAGTCCAGATGCCAAATCTGGGCCACACACTGGAGATGAACGTCTGTGCTCCCGGCTAATGACACTGAGACCACGACTTTTCACTCTCTCCTGGTGGGACTCTGTATTTTGGTGTAATTCTGTAATTACTGGCTGCAGAAATTCACTGAGAAGACCAGTGGTTATGGCACCCAGCTGGGAGACTGGAGACCCAGATTTAGTTGTGCTAAATGAGGCAAAAAATGAGTTTGAACAAGTTTCCAACGTCCTACATGAATGATCCCCCTATTGGTCTATTTACTGGTCTCTGGTTTAGTCAGGAATCCCTCATCCTTCACCTGATCCAGCTTACTTGGAAGTTCTGTTGAGACTGATGTTTCTTGGGAATAAATAAGCTTTAGATCAACAAATTGGCTTTTTCCTGCTGGAAAACATTAGTCTCAGCCGTCAGCAGATGTATTTTCCAGGGCTTGAAGAATGTAGGTTGCTGAATGGACTGAATATGAATATGTAGCTCTTCTTTTCTACCTGAAATTTCACCTGCAGGGTGGGTGACGCTCATTAGCTCCATTTTGCCTCTCCTAAGAATTCATAACCTCCTAATAATCCTCCTGGAGATAAAATCTCTGCACACTCTGCATTCAGGCAATCAGCACTGTAGTGATTGCTTCTTTTTGTGTTTACTAATCCTGAAAGGTATAAATTGTCCTCAGAGTCCTGTCCCTGTACTTCCCACCCTCCTCCTTAGCTTTTCTCTTGCAGTGTGATGCTGCAGGTTCCCTGCAGAGCTGCTGGACCACTGATGCGTCAGGTTGTGCAGGCACTATCAGAGCTCCCAGTCACGACTTGATGGTGATATTTGCTGTGCCAGCCTGACTCTGCTCAGCCAGAGGACATTTTCATTCCTTTGCTGTTTAATTGCTGCTCATTTTGCTGCTTGAACTGAAACTTTGGGCCAGTTTGAACTTGCCTGAAACGAGAGCAGGAGAAAACGTCAGCCCAGGAACTGCCTTAGCTAAACTCCTTTAAGGAAGGAGTGGTTCCACTTTGCAGGCTGGTTTCTTGGTGATAATCTGTGAGCTGCAGCCTCCCAGTGCTTGGTCTGGGGTGGGGGTTCTGCTCCCCCTCTTCTCAGATGCCCTTGGGTTGAAATTTTGGGCTGCTGAGCCTGGGTGGATGAGGAGGGAACACAGGCTTTGCACCAGCTTTCTGCTCCATCTGGTGGAGGTGGATAAGAATTGAGACAACTCCAGGTAAGGGGTGGAACAGCTGCCTGATGTCTGTCCTCACCTGCAGGGACTTGCAGTGGCTTCTTGGGAACCACTTTTTGGCCAAAGCTTCCCGGAACATTCTGCACTCCCAGGCTGGTTTCCCATCTCCTGGGAGCACTTGGGGACCCACCAGGGCTCAGCCCCCTGTGCCAGGCTTGGCCTGAGGATGTGGTTCTCTGGGCCTTTGGGTTGTCCCTTCCAGACACTGCAAACAAAGGAGCTGTAGAAAGAGTTTGCAAATAAATGTGTTAAAATAAAGCTTAAGCAAAGCAGAGGAACATCACAAACAAGTGTTAAACATCCCCATTCAGTGTCTGGCTTTCAGTGCCATGGTCTGTGCACTTTGTGAATGAAAGGATTCCTACTCAGACTATCCTTGAATGGAGGGATTTCCTACTCAGAGTAAAAAGTGCTGTTACTCTGCACCACTTCATAAATAGGAATACTAACTAAAGGCAGGTATCCAAAGGATGTTGTTAAGGTAAATATTTTATTTAAAACTACATTAAGGGGGAAGCAAAGAGCAAAATTTCAAAAGGCGCCAATAAAAGAGGAACTTTCCTCCTTTTTTGCAGGTGTACCAAAGTTCCCCAAAGAAAAAATCGAGCCTCTGGATGTGGAGCATGGAGATTCTGTGATCTTGCACTGTAACCCCCCAAAAGGCATCCCACCTTTGCATATCTATTGGATGAATATTGGTAAGTAAACAATTTTGGCACCATTCATGCAAAGAAACTCAAAACATTAGTCTCCCAGAGCAGTTTCATAATTGGTGGGAATGAGAACTGTGCAACTGCTTGGGAGAAACACCTGGATATTCAAAAATGGAGAATGGAGATCTGTTTTTGCAGGACACAAAGTTAAACTGTAGAGTGGATTGACACAACCAGTTATCAAATATGAGCCATCAGAAAGCTCGTATTTCAGTTAATGAGGATTCCTGCATTTCTGGAGAGAGGATATTTATAATGTGTCAATATTCATCAATTAATGGTTGATTTATAAAACTAAGAACAAAAATAAGCCATTAAATTTGTGTAATTAGTTCCTTGTGGGTTTCTGTGCTGCTCTTCTGCAGCATTTGTGCTCTGCAGGAGTTTCTGGCTGTTGGGAAGCCAAGTAACTCGTGCTGTCTCCTAGACATGAAGGGTTTGTTTGGGATGCTGCCCAAGCCCCTGCAGAGACAGGGTGCCAGGTGAAAGCTCTGATCCTTTAAGGCAGCCCCTCTACTCCTGCCATGCCTGTTTATCACAGACCTGCATTAGGCTGGATCAGCAATGAGGCAGAGCAGCAACTTGAGCTCATACGAACATCCCCTGCCCTAATCTGTAGTTACAGAATAGCAAAGTGCTGGGGAGACACCTGTCAGTGGTGACCTCCACATCACCATTCCAGACCTTTCTGCTGGGGAGAGATGCTGAACATTCCCTTTTACCTGAACAGGAGCTTTGCCCTGTGTTATTTTTTATTATCTATTATTTTTCATCTACATTATAAATAGGTATATACTGTTACATAAAAATACTTATTATACATTGTACATTGAATATTGATGAACAACCCATTGTTTATGCTCTGTTTTCTGTCTCTTTTGCCTCAAAAGCTCTGTTTTGTGGCTGTATTTGGAAGGAGGCACGTGAGAGGGGAGCATTAGTGAAGCAGCTCAGCGACGTTCCCATCTCACAATTATTTTTTCCCTTGCAGATTTGCAGCACATTCCACAAGATGAAAGGGTCTCCATGAGCCTTAAGGGAGATCTGTACTTCGCCAACGTGGAGGAGCATGACAGTAGAAGCGATTACTGTTGCTTTGCAGCCTTTCCAAGGCTCAGGACGATTGTGCAGAAAATGCCAATGACGCTGAAGGTTTCCCGTTGTAAGTCTGGGCATAAGCAGTTCCCTGCTTTCTGGTGCTTTTTGAACTCCCCAGGCATCAGTGCATGCACATGTGTGCCCTGTGTCTCTGAAGAGATGCTCTCTCTAGAAAGGGCACGTTACTGAGCTTATTTCCTGCATTATTAACCTCATTCTCAGGGCTAAACTCAACTGAGAAAAGCTTTCTGCAGCTGTCGGACTCCAAAAGTGCCCTGTTCTGCCTCCTGTTCTCCCCACTGGGGAAGCCAATGATGTATTAGGGAAATCTGCTTCTCTTGCAGTCCTGCAGGTCTCTGACAGATGGGACTTCACTGGGTTTTGAGGACTTTATGTGGCCACCTCCTCTCTGTTTCTGCCCAGCTGCATCCATGTGGTTGGGAAGGGTGGTGCTTTCCAGGCTGCCTTCAGGATCAGCAGTCACACAGGAGGCATTTTCCATTTTTCATTGCCAAGCCCAGAACTAACCCAGGTCCCCAAGTGCCACATCTACATGGCTTTAAAATCCCTGCAGGGATGGGAACTCCACCACTGCCCTGGGCAGCTGTGCCAGGGCTGGAAAAACCTTGCAGTGAAGAAACTTTCCCTGATATCCAACCTAAACATCCCTTGGTGCAACTTTAGGGCCCAGTCCCAGCTGGGTTAAACCAGCAAATCCCAACAGGGAACTTAAACCATCTGGAGTCCCATCCTGCTCTGCCTGCACCTCTTCTGGCTGTAAGAATGTCTGCTATCACTTGCACCACTCACTGAGCTTCCTGTGCCCTTAATATCAGTTTTCTGTTCCACTAATGCTTCTGACCTTTGGGGCTTATGAGGCCCAGAAAGCCAAGGAGATTTTTCTTTTTTTTTTTTTTTTTCTCCTTCATGAATGAAAATCTCATATTTAATATGTGATTTTGAGTGTTTTCTTGTCGGGATAAAAAGATAGAGGATTAATAGTGGCTTTGTGCGTCTTAATGCTTGGCTTAAAGTGTATCTTGGGATAATAATTGTGAGAAAAATATCCAGGGGAAATGTTGCTCTCTGTGGGTTTTCCGCTGGGTCCAGTCCCCCACACAGGCACACACAGATTAGAGAAAAATTAGATGGCCTTTGCCTGTGGGGCCGCTGGGAGTCCTGGAAGTGACTCAAAAAACCCACTTCAGTGTGTCCACCTTGTCACCAAAGCCACAAGACTTAGTCCAGGAAAAAAAACAAAAAAAAAAAGTGAAACATAAATTAAAGGGTTTCGTAAACTCAGCTTGACGTTGCCCATCCCGCTCTGTGCCAAGTCCCTGCTGAGGGACTGCATTAAAAAAACCACACACAAAAAATATTTAAGCAATAAGAAACAAGCAAATAAATAAATTCTATAGCATTTCTTTTTAATGGATACTTAGAACTTAGTGATTTTTTATTACCCTAGATAGCAAGGTTGAAAAGCTGTTTACATCACCTATGGAGTATTTTGACATCACCCATGGAGTATTTTGCAGAGTAATACATAATATTTGAACAATTTTCATTGTATTTTCAAAAATTTGTTGCTCATCTGTTGCTTTCCTTTATATTTTTCATTCTTTCTTTCTTTTATGGCAGAAATTGAGGGGGGGGGTGGGGAGGGGCATGATTTTGTTTTGGTTGATTTATTGTTTTCTTTTGATTCTGTCTCAACCCTGCATGTTTGTGTTTGGTTGTCACTTTTATTTATTTCAGTAAAGCATGCTAATGACTCAGGCTCACCTAACGCTGCTGTTACTAAGGGTGAGTTGAATGCATCTGTTCTTTAGCCTTTAAACTGAGAATCCACCAGCTGAGATGAAATGGGAGCTGGTAAAAAAAAAAAAAAAAAAGAAAAAAAATCACAAAAAGCCTTTTGATTGTGATGGGTTGGATTTAAGTGCTCCGTGGAGGAAAATTTGCTCATCTTGTAGGTTTTGACAGAAATCTGCAGGGTTTTTAATAAAAAAGGTAGGGCTTTTTAGTTGAGAAAGGAGCATTCACGCTCCAGAACATGATGTAAGGAGGGTGACATCCTGGGTTTCTTGTGTTATCAGCTCAGAGCAGGAGCCAGAGCTGGATGTTCCAAATTTTTTTCTGGCAGTTAAGAGGACTCTGGGATTAGGGAGCCAGAGGTTTGGCACCATGAATTCATGTCCAAGGGGTCATCCTGGGCCTGCATTATCTCAGGGTGAGCTCAAGGTGTGGATTTACAGAGTTTTGGGTGCTCTAATTGTCCCCCTTGTCAATGAGAGGTGGTTCTCTCTGTTTGTACCTTGATCTGCATGTTACTCCCCACAGGTAAGGACCACAGCAAAGCACTTCTCATCCCGGGAATTCCCAACTTCCATTGCTTTTTGTGCCCCTCTCTGTCAAAAAAAAACCAGCCTGGAAATATCCTGCTGAGCTTTATGCAGGCAGTGGGGACAAGCCAGAAGGCAGCTAGTGGCTATCCCTGCAATTCTCCACCCAGTTAATTTTGTTTGAAATGTATAAAAACGAGAGCCTTGGGTTTTGTTCGTAGCTCTCTCGACTCTGATTTCTTTGGTTGAATTGCTTTTGAGAGTCTCTGTTTTTTTTTTGAAATGCCCGATTTGAACCTCCTGAAAGAGCTTGTTTTAGACAAGGGGTTTTGGATAATTTGGAGTACTCATCAGTCCTCAAGCCTTTGCCCTTGGAGGCTGAGCCCCATGAGCAGAGCGAGCAGGTCCTGTGAGGTGTGACAGACACTCCAACCCAGTTTTTCCCTGGAAGGGATTGCTGAACTCCTGCTGGGAAGGGGCACTGCCTGCCTTTGGAAGCAGGAGGTGGAGGCAGATGGGAAATGTGTGAGCATATCCAGAGGCACCAAAGGGTTCTGCTGCAGCTCAGAGCGCTCGTGGCACAGATCTGTAGAGATACAAAGCAAGGGGAGGAAGAAATGAAAAACCAGAAAATGATTCAGGGAGATACATGTGGTCTTTTACCAAATCATCCATAACTGACTATTTTTGAAGAAGTAGTACCATTTGGGGACTTATTCATTACTGTGCTAATTGTTATGAGAGTGATAACTGGGCAGGCATTGAGCTCTCTCTGTGTTTCATCATGAAACCCTTGTTTGGCAGCCTGGAACAAATGGGCCGTTGGAATCAAATACAAGTCAATCTTGTTTTATTATTTTAACAGTCTTCCCTACAAATTGTACCTCCATTACTGTAGATTTAATAATTGCAGCAAGAAGGGTGATTCTGTGGGATGTTCAAGTCAGGGGAGATGGCATTTCATCTGAGGTTTAAAAGATAACAGAGTCAATGCAGAAGAAGGGTGGTAAGAAAGGTGCTGTGGACCAGAAGCTCAGCAATTGAGAGCACCAGTGTACCCAGACTGGATGAGGTGAATGATAGGACAGGCCAGTCCTTGGAAAAGAGGACATAAAACTGTAAGAAAAAGGGGTTTCACCAGTTCTGCTGTCTGTTGATATCACTGCACTTGTCTTCTGACTCTTATCAGGAGAAACAAGTGTTCTGGATCAGGCTCAAACGGTATAAATAAAAAAGAAAACATTCAAATCGATGCCTGAAACCTCCTGACAGCAGTGATGTTTGTGGCATTATTGAAGGCTCTAAGATTTCATATCTAACTCCTCTTTTATTTTATCTTTCAGCAAATTTTATCAAGGAAAGAAAACCCAAACTGCTGATCCCTCCTGAATCTGCTGGCAGCAGCTCATCAGTCACTGTCATCAAGGGAGGTGTCCTGCTCCTCGAATGCATTGCTGAAGGGCTGTGAGTAATGCACAATGCTGCACAACTTAATCACCCACCTCTTGAGATAGAAATGAGCAGACAAAGAGCTCTATTTCAAATTATACACCAGTTTGAAATTGAATTCCTGTGCAGAGTTGTTTGTGAAGTTTGTGTGCTCCTTGTAAAGCAGCACAGAGTTCATGCAACACTGGTTATTGCTATAGCTTGTAAACAAGTAATTAAAATCAGATCGTGGTAAGTATTGATTTTTTTTTTTACTGTTATATTAAAAAAGACCCCTACTACTGAACTTTTTTCAGTAGCACCACTTTTGAGATGTTGAGGAACTAAATAACATCAGCATCAGCTTCTGTTTTGTGGCTCACAACCTGTGATGTTTCCTTTCTGCTTTTGTCAATTCAGTTTTGCTTCAGTACTCAAAATTTTTTTTCAGTTTTTTCCACATGCAAAATCTCATGTTTTTTTTTTAAAAAAAAAAGTTCTTGAGTGATGTGCAAAAATATAGTGAACCTGAATCAGCCTTATTGGTTTGATCCTGCTAAAACCAGCAGTAATGGGCAAACCTCAGACTTGGTACCAGTCCCATGTTCTCCTGGGCTCACTCCTGTGTGTGCTGTGGTGCTTTGGACTGCTCAGATACCTCAAACTCGTTTTTGCTGTCAGCATTTATCTCAGAAAGCTACTCAAAGGATAGTTGTGGATCCAGGTGTAAGAAGTATGGAGGAATACCTGGAGGAGGAGATGTTCACTGTAAAAATACATCACAGAATCCCAGAATGGTTTGGGTTGGAAGGGACCTTAAAGCTCATCTCATTCCACACCCTGCCGTGGGCAGGGACACCTTCCACTAGCCCAGGTTGCTCCAACCTGGCCTTGGACACTTCTAGGGATCCAGGGGCAGCCACAGCTTCTCTGGGCAACCTGTGCCAGGGCCTGACCACCCTCCCAGGAAAGAATTTCTTCCTAAAATCCAACCTAAACCTACTCTCATTCAGTTTGAAGCCAGTCCCCCTTGTCCTGTCGCTCCAGGCTCTTGTAAATAGTCTCTCTTCCTTTCTCTTTTAGGTTCTTTTAAAGTCTTGGAAGGGTTAATTTAGGGAAGGGTTAAAATAGATGGTATGTGACGGGAACTCAGGACAGTTTTGTTGCTTATTGTAAATAACACAGGGCAAAATGAGGGTAAGCAAAGAAAGGGAAGGGCTAAATAAATGCTGAGTGTCAGCCCTCCAGTCCCTCTCTCAGAGCTGTCCCTGCTGCACTAACTCACAGAGACAGAAACCCCAGTCCGGTTTTCCAATATTCCCCACGTGCCTGTCCAGGCAATAGTCGAGTTGCCACCAGAGGAACAGGTGAAGTGAAAATCTCTGCACCCACCAAACCCACAGTGAAAGCAAAGTCCCTTCTGGTTTGTTTGTGACGGAGCTTTGTGTCAAACAGAGCCTTAAATCACCCTCTCCTCTTGCTGTACAACAGAGTCTGCTTAGCATGGAGATAATTCACATTAAAGGCTCTGCAATTATACCCCCCCTGTTAAATTCCAAAGTCAGGATATTTATCTGCCTGAACAAACATGTGTAGGGTATTTTGTTTTTCCATGAGGAAAGGGCATTGCTCATTTAGGCTGGCAGGGTTCTGCCTCTGCAGTTGGTTGGCATTCCTGAAAGCAGGTGAATTCCTTGTCTCTGTTGGATTCACTCCAGGTATCTGCAGCAAGTTTTGGTTCCCTGTTGCGACACTTCCTTGTCTAATTCACTTCCCATCAAGCTAATTCACCGACGCACAAACCTCCCCAAGTCCACAGCTATGAGTTTATAGGGTTTTCAAAGCATTGAACAGGCATAACCCCTTGAAAAAAACTCAAATATGAATTTCGTGTGCAGGAATTAATATCATATACAAGAAGAGAAAGCCATAAAAGCTTGTTCATTTGGCAAAATGTTAAAAAAAAAATAAAATACTGTTTTCACTCAAAATTTTCTGGGAAGCTCTTTTAAAAATTATTTTTCAAACAAAAAGGTGGTTTTTTTTTTTTAAGTTGTCATTTTTGAGAGAATACAAAGTACTTCTTTGCACTTTCATTGAAACCCTTCAAAAAATGCAATATTCAGAACAAAAAAAAATTGCTACTTTCATTTGCTAAAATTTCCCTTTTCTGCAGAAAAAATTATCAGCTTTGCCCACATCTCTGCCAACCCATCCCACCAAATGTCCCCTGACCATGGAAGCAGATAGACCGAGCCAGATTCCCAGATCAGGGCCATCCAACTGCAAAATAAGGAACTGAGTACATTTCCAATCTGTCACCTTTTGAAGACTTTTACACTCTGAGTGATGGCAGTGCCAGGAGGGGCATCGCCTCGGTGCAACACCGAGGCGACACAAAGCCTGGCCTGGGGGGACAAGAGAGGGACAAGGACTCTCGCAGGAAATAATTTGCAGCCAGTGCTCCTGGAAATCCACGATTTCTGGGTACCTGCAGCTCTGTGCAGCTCGTGCCAGGGCACTCAGCCACAGGAACAGATGGGCACGAGGGTGAGCAGATCCGACACCGTGTCCGCGTGTCGGGAATGCGGAGCCCGGCTGGGAACGTGCAGACACCGGCCTGGCCTCAGCCCCCGTGTCACTGCTTTCTGAGGCTGCAAAGGGCACTTCAGCCACCTCCAGTGGTTGGCCAACAGGCAAGCAGTGAGTGGAGTCGGTCTAATGAAGTCTTCACCTCCTTGTCTGTCCTCAGGTGCCCTTTTGGAGCGGGATGAGATGAGCTCCGGTCCCTCTCCCACAGTCCGTGCCAACTCACACGCAAGGAATGCAGCCTCGTGCTTTGCCTTGCTGAAGAACCTACTCACAGGGCTCCTCCAAATCAAGAAGCAGTACAGATTGGTTTTAGTCTATAATATAACCCTTAGTTAGCCCTAGAGTTTTAAAAAGGCTTGAAATTCTCTGACAAACCATAGTGCGAAGTCCAGCAGGGGTATAATAGGAAGCAGCTTAGTGTGCAACTAAAAATCTTCCTTTTTTTCTTTCTTAGCCCAACTCCTCATCTGAGCTGGGTCAAAGTCACTGGAAACATGCCCAAGGAGGAACCAGAAACAGAGAATTTTGGGAAGATCCTGAAGATAGACCAAGTGACAGCAGCTGATGAGGGGACGTACCAGTGCACAGCGAGTAACCCCATGGGGAGGGCGAGGCACGAGTTCCACGTCCACGTGGAAGGTACTGAGCACACTTCAACCAACCTGAGTGATTTTGAACAGAGAGGTGGTGAAAGGGAAGGGAACAATAGTAATAATAACCTTTTATATATAATTTTATATTTATATAATAATAATAATAAGCTTTGCTATATGTGGGAATTGCATAACACTAATTTTTGCTTACCAAGGACCCATCTCTTAAATTTGGGAAGGTTGCAGAAAGCAGCACCTCTAAAAAACAAACAAACAAACAAACATATATATATATATATATATATATATGAATAATGCATCTTTTTTCCTGAACCATGAAGGCCTTACAAAGTGGTGGACAGGAGTACAAATACATGAGCAGATTCAATGCTCTAAAGATGGGAGTCAGTCGAGCAGAGATATTGATGAAATGTCTTGTATTAATCTGAGTGTCAGACAAAAAGATCTCATTATTCCACTTGCCCTTAAAGACTGTGAAAATGGCTACACTGGGCTGGATCAGAGGGACATCTAGCTCTGTTCTCTTTCTTTGGCTTCCACCCAAAGTGAGTTCCTAGGGAGAGTTGTAAAAATACAGCGAGCAGACATGGTACCACCTCTCTCCTCCCCCGTTAAGGTTGGAAAAGACCTCTGAGTCCAACCTGTGAACAATCCACCACCTCCTTAACAGTTTTAAAAAACTGAGATATGATCCTTTTTCTCATCCCACCGAGTGTCCAAGGCCTGTTCCCACCCCACCTGCATGCTTGGGAGGATGACCAATATTAGCAGCATTCATAAATAGGTTTAGGGTTCCACTTCTGCCCGTCATACCCATGTGTGGGGGGTGGTGAATCCCTGTGAGGAACCCACAAGGGTCTGGTGGCTGATGCAGGTGAGTATTGGCTGCCTGTGCTTGTGCCAAACAGAGAACCTGCTGTGTTTGTGCAAGGGTTGGTCATCATCTATTTATGGTGCTCAAGAAGGTGGTGGATGAACAAAGCCGGCCAAGATACCTTCATCCCAGGCATCTTGCAGAGTGCAGATAGAGGTGGGGCTCCATCCCCCTTTCTCCTCCTCCCCAAACTCTGAAGGTGTGAGCCCTTCACAAAAGGCAGGTGTAGATGCTCTTTTCCAGGAGCCAAGCAGAGCTCTGGTGAGGCTTAGAAAAGACAAGCAAGACCTGCAGAACCCTCCTTGCCACTGCAGCTCTCTGTCCAGAAACAGCTACAGAATGGGAACCCTTAAGCACAGCTGAAAAACTCCCTGAAAACATTTTACTGATGAGAAATGTTCCATCCTCTGCTCTGCAGAGTCAAAAAGTAAAATAAACCACAGGCAGGATTATCTGTAAGAGCCTGCCAACAGCTTCTTTTTCATCTGGGCTTCTTCTCACTGCCTGGTCACAAGAAAATCTGATGGGAGGAAAGGCACTTTCAACCCCTGCTCTGTGTTTACTCCTCAGCTGAGGAAAAGCCTTTTTCTCCCAGTGTGTGACGAATCATCCCCCTTCACTTGACACAACCTTGTGCCTCACAGTCCTCTTTCCCTCACTGCAAGCGTGGCAGAGGGGGATACCAGGGCATGGCAAATTTTCAGCTGCGATGGAGGGGAAGTGCTGACTCCCAGAAATCATTCCAGATGGTTTGGAGCATCTCTGCTGTAGCTGAATATTTTAACAATCTGGCGATGATTTTCTCGGCTGTAAAAAATCGATTCCTTCAAAGAAATTGCAGGAGCTGCAGAAACTAAAATACCAGAGAAATAACATCAATTTAGCAGTTTGGGATTTTGACCTCCATCTCCCCTGGTCTGTAGAGGAAGGAAAACTTTCTGGCAAAAAAAAAAAAAAAAAAGTCAAAGAAGGGAATAATCCCACTCCAGCCACTGCTGTTAAATTCATTTTCCGTGTGTGTAACTAATGATGACTACTGTCACCTGCAGGAATTCTTCCTATTAGGAGTCACCTCACATCCAAGGTATCAAGGTAAAAATGAGCCCAAACACTGTTGTCTTCTCCAATTTCTAACCAGCAAATGTCACTGTCATTAATCAGAGATGGGCACGTTCATCACTCTTGCAGGAGCTCCTGTGAGCACACTCAAGGGCAGATCCTGAGCTCTGGAACTGAGCATTAATTTCAGTTGGCTTTAGGGAGGTTGTGCTGACTTAGGGCTTCCTCACACCTGACAGGCTCCTCTCAAAGGGGAAAGAAAATTAAACATGGAAGAAAAATTATCTATTGTTAACCACCAACCGTCTTCAGTCTAATGTTGGTGTGTAAATCAGGATTTACTGCCACATTTTTTGTTCTTCTTTCTGGTACTTGAGGATCTCAAACCACTGCCCCATCCTTCCAAACAACAATTTTAATGATATTTGCATGCAACCCACTTTCTAATCCTACTGAGTCTGAGGGCAAAGATTCAGGTAATTATTACCAAGCATATGAAAATATTCAGCGAGCAAATTGCTTGACTGTTTGAGCATTTTAATCTCTCTTTGCAAGGGAAGATGTAACCTGGAACATTAGAGCAGGCATAAAACCCCCACTGTTGTTATTAGAATGAGAGAAAATTATTTTTAAAAAAATAGCAAAGCAAGCCCACAAATTGCTTTGACTTCAAATTTTTTTTGGTTATTGTTTATAGACCACCAAACCCAACAGCAAATGCACATACAACCTCAAAATCTTCAGTGTAATAATGCCTGATTTAATGTTACTTGGTCTTGACTGAGGCTCCTGGATGGTGTTTCATAGAAATAATTATTCCAATATAATGATTATTTTAGTAATGATACAATAGCTAAGGGCCTGTGCAGTTGTGTCTTGCAATGCTTTTAAGAGAAAAAGAAAACAGATGAAACCAATGTGAGGCAGAACCAGGACTGGGTGTTTTAATTGGGTTTAAATTGTATTTCTGTGTTTCCCTGGGAAACTGCTCCAATAGGATGCAGAGCCCAAGGTGATCCCTGCAGCTGCTGCTGATGCCCCCAAAGTGGGATGGATTGCCAGCCTTTGGGAAGATGTGAGGAGAATTTGAAAGGATCTTGACAACTTGGGAAGGTGGTCCGGAATAAAAAGGACGGGCTTCAGCGAGCACAAGTGCAAAGCAATTCTCCCCAGGCGGCACTAATTGGCTTCATCAGCACAGGATGGGAAATGTCTGGTCAGGCTGGTTGGGAGGAGATGTTGGATGGAGAGCTGAACATGGCTGGGAACCGTTAGTCTGGCAGAAAAGGCAAAAATCATCCAGGAAAGTATGAAGAAAAGTGCTGCTGTAAGAAAAAAAACTACTGAGAACGGATAAGGCCTCACCTAATGTAAGGAATTTTACATCAAGGCTGGGGTTAACTGAGGCAGTTCAGGAGAAGGCAGCAAGGGTGGTCACAGACCCTGAAATCATGGCATTTGAGAAAAAAAGCCCAAACAGGTATGTTTAATTTGCTAAGAAATAAATGTGGGGAATGCACAAGAACATTCAGATGAATGGAAGTTTCTTCACAAAGTCTCCTGGGGATGATGTAAGATACAATATGCTAATCTGCAGCAGGGCAGATGTTGGTTTGATGTCACAAATTTGTTCTAGTCCTGGGGAAAAGCACGGTGGTGGCACAGCGTGGGAGGCTGAGGGGAAGGTTTGAGTGTTTCAGGTGTAGATGATCCTGCTCTGTTGCAACAGGATGGACTAAATGCCCCCATTTTAGATCCCTTTCATTTTCGAACCTGTCAGTATTTTCCATAAAGACATAAATCTCTAAATCAAGAGGCTCACTTTGATACCTCTTACCAAGGAGATGCAGGAAATATTTGCCTCTCCCTGTTGTTGCTCACACAGATTAACTCTTTGATTCTTCAACCGGTGGATTTTGTAGTTGCTAAAAATACACATATATTTTGTTATTCTGATACTTTGTGTACTCATAAGTAGTATAGCACGTCTGCCACGTGGAAAAGAGGTTCTTCAGCCTTTCTGTGAAATTCCATTTCATACTGGGCAAAATCTCATTCCCTCTGACTTCACAGCTGCATCATTCCCTTGGGGCACCCACAGCCATTGCCGTGCTGAGAAAGGAAAGAGTGGCATCATGTGCATGCACAGATGGAAATAGGAAGGGATCCATCAGGTGGTTTGGATTCAGGCTCTGCTTAGTGTCCCCTCCTCCAAAACAGGGAAATATCCTGACTCAAGTAGTGAGTCTGTGGCAGATTTAGAGGAAAAAATTCCAAACCAGCAGTTTAATCAAGACTGCTACAAACCTTTTCACCTCCATGCCATTAACCTGCCTTTTCCTGAGGACAGCATGATCTGTGTGAGGGAGAGAAGGGAAAAAGACCTGCAAGACCAAAATGTTCTGTTGTTTGCAGAGGTGTTTTTTTTTTTTCTCTGGAGTCAAATACCAGGAAGCAAAACAAATGTGATCCTGTCACTCTGGGCAGGCAGCTCTCAGTGTGTGGGGAAGGTGAGAAACCTGTCCTGTGTGAAAGAAATGGGGAGATCTTATCATTTTAGATAAGCTTCAGTATCTTGGATGTTACTGCAGTCTTCATAGGTTGATGAACAACGTCTCTTCATCTGGAAATGCTGGACTGGGTGTGTATCATCATCTCAGAGCTGTTTCTTTAATATCTGTGTCAATATGAGCAGAGATGCTTTGTTTTAGCATATCACACTGATAACATCTGCAGTTGTATTACCAGGCAACAGCTCTGTTCATCTTCAAAGTGTTCTGTGAGCATTCACTAATGGATCCAAGGGGTTTCCATGCATTAGCTCACCTGTTTCAAATAGGGAAATTGGTCTGCCAAGCACATGCAGAAGAGGTAGTGTCAAATCTGGTATTAAAATCCGTAAGTTTCCTGCTTTTCAGGGGAAGATAATGATGAATTCAAGGTTGTGTTTTGGACTGAGGATGCTCACTGAAGCGTAGGCAGGCTCAGGGACCTGCACTCAGTCAGAGAATGAAGCATTTATCAGATAAAGGCCTTTTTTTCCCCCCTTCCCTCCCTTGTGGATATGTTTTTCCAACGAGGTTTGGGTACCTGAAGCTCATGGGCTGCTCTGCAGGGCAGAGGGTTCCCTCAGAGCCCCCCAGTTTGCCTGGCAGTGCTGGGAAAGCAGAGCACAGGGATTGCAGCAGCACATGCCTGCTCCTCTACCACCACCCTGTGGGCAACATATCTGCATCCAAACCTTCTCTCATCCCCAAAATGAATGTTTCATCATTCCTAAATGTGCTTCGTCAGCCTCTGATCTGAACACAGGATGGAAAAAACAGAATATTGAGGTGACAGTGGATTTCCTCAGCACAGGTGGAGGTGCTGAATCCTGTCGTGGAGCTCCTTCCACCCCTGGGCAAGGCAGTGGGAGCCACTTTCTCGTGCCTGGAGAGGGGGATTTGAGCTGGATGGGTATTTCCATCTTGTTTGCGTTGCTGAAATAGTCTCAGCTCATTTCCCAGACCAGCCTCAAGGCTGAGGGTCCTGCTGGAAATGCTGACCCACTCAGGTTTCCTTGCTTCCCCGGCCTCTCGCCTTCTATTTGCATTTGTTTTCCACTTGGATAAGCACTGCCCATTTCTACGCTCTCCCTGACACTCCCAAAGTCTGAAGGACAGAACTGATGTGTGCTGATGCTAATTTTGCCTTTCCTGACACGGGTTTTGCAAGGAATCCCATTCGGCTGCGGGGCGGGCTGAAGTGTTGGCTGAGTTTGCCATCTCCTGGAGGAGCGCGGCAATGGCAGGGTCAGACTCTGGGGGCTGTGACGCTGATCCCTGCTCTGTGCCCTCTTTCCAGAGCCTCCCCAGTGGCTGAAGAAGCCCGAAGGCGGTGTCTACAGCGTGGGAACGAACCTGGTGCTGCTGTGTGAGGCGATTGGCAACCCAGAGCCGAGCATCCAGTGGAAACTCAACGGGATGCCCATCGATAGTACGTGCTGGGTCCAGTGTCCTCCCCCTGGTGCTGGCTGGGTGGGAACTCACAAATCCTAACACCCTGGGTTGATACCTGATTTTGAATCTATTTAGATACTAATTAATATTTATTTACTTAAGAAGCTAATATTTAAATGTGATCTTGAAGAGAATGCATCATGGTGTGGAGCACCATACAGGGATCCAACCCACAACCTTGGCATTACTAGCACTGTGCTCTAACCAACTGAGCTCATCTCAGGCTCATCCTGAAGAGCTGCTTTGCCTCTGACTTTCAAGCAGTGAGCAGAGACTGTGAACTCCACAGTCAAATTTTTTCCAGCTCCTGACGTAATTTGGGTTTTTCCAGGCAGGACCTTCCGAGGGAGGATCTCTACCCGGGAGATCAGCCTGACCAACCTGCAGCTGCAGGACAGTGCCGTGTTCCAGTGTGAAGCCACCAACAAGCACGGCACCATCCTGGCCAGTGCCAACGTGAATGTCCTCAGTGAGTGCCCCTTTCCTCTTCACAGCAAGGGATCTGACAACCCCAATGCCCCATTCCCATTCCCGAATCCTCTGGACAGCTTGGAGCTTGTAACCATGTCACAGTGCCTTGCACTGCCCCCAGATTTTAAGAATTGCTTTATCCAAGTTAATGCAGTAAGTCTTACCATGGGCAATATTGTATTAGCAGGGACACTCATGAGCTTTGATATACTCTTTATTTTAAAAACATGCTTGGGCTCAAAAATTTTTGAATCCAAACCACTCTGTGACCACAACTCTATTTTTTAATTATTAAGTGTATTGTTAATCTTTAATTTCAGTTGTGATTCCCAACCTGTTCTTTGAAAAAGGGGGTGATGGGAATTTATTTAATAAAAAACATCCCTAAAGGAAGCAGAACTGGGTCTGGTTTGTCTCATGGAGACATTTCTGACATGTCCAGCCTGTCCATGCAGTGCCTCAGCCTTTGAAAGTGGATGATGCACGGACAATATTTGTATTCCCAGTTGTGAAATCCAGTGCTTCTCACCTTGCATTCTCTTCTGCAGATATTGCTCCCTTAATCCTGACCTCAGACGGGGAGAACTATGCCACAGTGGTGGGTTACAGTGCCTTCCTGCGCTGCGACATCTTTGCCTCACCTGCAGCAGATGTCAGATGGTAAGAGACTGGGAAGTGATGTTTTCATGTGAGACAAGTTCATACAGGCTCGCCAAACACTGAAAAATCTGTTAGTTGTTATTTCTATAGAGTTGAGATCAGAAATTTGTAACAAAAACTGTACACGAACAAAAGTTTTCTGTGTCCAAATACGTTTTTAAGAACCCTGAAGAACTGGTTTATAAAAAGGGTTAATGAAAGTCCTCAATACCTTTGTGAGACCAGTGCTGGGATACTTGTTAAGCCAAGCCATGCTGTAATAGCCAAATCCTGCTACTAATCCTTAGATTATTGTTGGCAACTTCGTAAGTTTGGACACACTATTAAGGTGGAAACACAGGGACTTAGAGGACATATTTAGCTGGACATGGTTCCATAGGGTTGGAAATCACAGGATTGTCATAGCAGATGGCAGCTGTAGATTAAAGACAGAGTAGTTTGAAGACTTTTTTAGATGCTCTCAGTGTGGTTTTGGTTTGCTAGTCACTTGTCATAGAACCACAGAATAGTTTGGGATGGAAGGGAATTAAAGATCATCTCGTTCCACCCCCTGCCACGGGCAGGGACACCTTCCACCAGCCCAGGTTGCTCCAACCTGGCCTTGGACACTTCCAGGGATCCAGGGGCAGCCACAGCTTCTCTGGGCAACCTGTGCCAGGGCCTCTCCACCCTCCCAGGGAAGAATTCCTTCCTAATATCTAATCTAGACCCTAACCACGACTCTAATTGCTCAGAGGCAGAGCTGAGACCCAAAATTCCCATGTGCCCTGCAATAACTCCATGAAATGACAGTTCCTGCAGCCCTGTAAATAAACCAGCCTTATTGTTCTGATCCTTAGGACCAAGGATGAGAGCATAGAGCCCCTCTCAACGTTCCGCTATGAGTTAAGTAAGAATGGAACCCTGGAGATCAAAGACACAAAGAAGGAAGACTCAGGATCTTATGCTTGCTGGGCTGCCAATTCTGTTGGAAAAACAGCAATCACTGCTAATTTGGATATAAGAGGTAAGGGCTCACGTGTTAACAGAGAAACCTTCCCCAACGGGGAAAGGTTTTACATTTACACGTGTTCAGTGAATAAATAATTAGTAAATGCTCAGACCAGGATACAGATTTATTCTGTCAATCTAGTACTATGACCTGGAATTGCCACAAGTCTCTTATACATGTAGCCTTTCATATTGTCCCGTGTTTCTGTTGGATTTCTCCGTGCTCATACATGATGTCCACTTTCTTCTTGGCAAAAAAATTACTGAAGTGTGTTTATTTATAAATTTTAGATCAATTCCTTGGGCTCCAGTTCTATTTCAAGGGATTTATATCCCAGGTTGGCAGCAAACAGCTTCTGTTCAGTGCACAGTGGGTTTTACACAAATTTACTTAGGATTTAGGTCTGGCCAATAAAAAAACCCTTAAATACTCAATTAGCAAAGTCCTCCAAAGGACTCTCCTATGCAGGGTTTGCTGTGACAAACTTTAGGGAAAAAGGCCACTCTCTTTGTGTTCTATTTCCACCCACTCCCTTTGCTTTCTAATTTTTACAGTGCTAATAAACATGAAAATGCACAATGAAATTATCACAGAGCAATGTCTCTCTGCAAATATAAATTCTGCTAAGTGCCTTCTCCTTACTTATTCATCTGTTTCTGCGTTTGGATTACAGTCAATTAAAAGAACAAACTTGATTGCAATAATTTTTTCTCACTTGACTTTAATAAGCTTGTAATTTTTCTTGGATCATTGCCAAAGCTTATTTCAAATGGCAATTAGACATAAAAATCATATTGAAGCCTTTTTTTTTTTTTTTTTCTTATCATCCATTTCATGACAGTCTGCTAACAAGGATTTTCACCTGTGACTTTTTATTTTGTGGAGATTTTTTTTTTTTTCTGGAGCTCTTTGGATTGGGGTGAACTGAAAAACGCTTCAAGACAAAAAAATTAAATCCTGGGAAATATCTAGTTCAAAACAAACCATCCTTCTCTTGAAATGTGTGTATACATAACAAAAAAAAAAAAAAAAAAAAAAAGGAGAATACATGACTGTTGCTCCTAAGGTTGATTTTTATATATGAAGTGCATGGTGAAAATTTGATGTAATAGTCCCTCTCTCTCTCCTAATCAGAGTGTTTTTCTGTGATCAATCAGATGCTACAAAACTTGTTGTTACTCCGAAGAACCCCCGAGTGCTGAAATCACATTCAATTTTATTGAAATGTCAGGCTGAGTATGATTCCCACTTGAAACACAGTTTTAAATTATCCTGGAGGAAAGATGGAGATGAGCTGCCAGTCAACAGCACGGAAGGTGGCAGGTAAGTGGGGAGGGGAACAAGGATTTTCTGATCTCAGCTGGATAATGTGATGTGGGGCTGCAACACGAGATTCATTAAACCATGAGCCTTAATAGCTTGAAATGCAAATTTTAGGCTGCAGGAATTCTTCATGTGGTGTGTGAATAGATCTGCATTTTATACATATAAATGCAACCGTATGAGTTACCATCGATGGTAAATGATTTGGGGATTTATTAACTCTTTCATCCTCACAGAAGAATATAATGTTATACTTTAAATCTCTATATCTATCTAGATATCTCTCTCTCTCTAAAATATATATCTACCTATATCTATATATCTATATGCATCTATTTATACCTATTTATATCTAATATGTATAATTTATATATAATATAAATGTTGGTTCAACTCAAAAAGCCCCAGGGCAGTCAGCTAGGGTTTTGTTTCTCTACTTCACTGGAACTATTATTTTCCTGTGTTTTACGACTGTTTGACCAAAGCAAAGTCCTTCTAATGTTGAACTGAATGGCAAACAGATTTCTGGGATTCTGCCAACAATCCTACGCATTAAAAGCAACGAGTTTGTCCTGCATGTAAGTTCAGGACTTGCAAGCCCAGGCTGAGTTTTGCCCTATTTTTTGTGTTTCCATTGTCCTCCAGGGGATGGAGCTCAGCCTCCATTCCATGGGAGGGGTTCCACAGTGGTTAATCGGGTGTCTTTATTAATTACCACAGAAGGGAGATGGTTTCCTAAACACTGCAATGCTGGAGAGGTTGGAGATCCTGCTGAGCCCACGTAAGGTGGGGAGGGGGTGCCAGGCAATTCCATGTCTGCCACGGAGCACACTTGCCTGGGATAATGCCAGCTTCCCCTGGGCACTGGACATTTCACAAGTGGGTTGGGAATGCCCAGTTTTACTCAACCCTTTCAAAAATTCCAGCATAAAGCCCACACATTTGCCTCATTAATGACGTGCCAAAATCCTATGATTCAGACACTGATCCCGTGCATATCAATGGGAGTCTTTTCAGACCAGGATTGACACATCAACTTCCAGCCATGGAGGCGAAATTGCTACAAAATACAAATAACAGTAGCCAGCACAGTGTATAACACAACTACAATTATGTTTAAATTAATAGTCCTGGTGTGCAATTATGTCAGCACGTCCCATTACCAAGTTTTTTTTAGGATCAGTTTTTCAGAGAACAGTGGTGTCTGTCTGTCATATTTACCTTACAGATTTTTTTCATCCTTTGTTTTTTTGGTTTTTTTTTCATCCCTTTAGGATGATTCTGGACAGGGATACACTGTTCATCTCCAGTGTGCTCATGGAGGATCAAGGAGTTTACACGTGTGTGGGCAGCACTTCCCTGGACTCCGCCACGGCCGAGTCGCAGCTGATTGTTCTTGGTAAGGGCTGATTTTCCTGGTGCTCAGACAGCTCCAAATGCCATTGCAGCACTTATTTACATTTCATCTTTGTTATAGTAAGATAAGGCAGCATTTTTTTCTCAGTTCAGGAGTCTCCTACAGTGGCTGTAGGGGGGGAGCCCAGGTTGGAAGGTGTAACAGCATATTAAGAATGGCTCTGCTGCTGCTTTGAAATCCTTGCTCAGTCCTTCATCTCATTTAATTGGAAATCTGCACAAGAATTGAACTATTTCTTGAAGGACATAAGGCCAGTGTTTAGTTGTCCAGCCCCCCTGAAGATTAGTGCAAGTTAAGCACCCAAAAGGATTAATTATCTCTGTGAATCTGAACGTAAATTATTGTCCAGTGGCAAAGAGCAAGTTCACAGCAGAGAAAAACCTTGACCCACTGGGTCTGAAGCTTGACCTCGTGTGAGCCTCCTTCCAACCTGCCTCCCTTCCTGAAGGGTCACTTGGAATTAAGAGGGTGAACTTGTGATGTGCATCCCATTGCACAGGTACCCAAGGGCATCACCCAATAACTACAATTTTGTGGACAGTTTTAATCACGTTAATTTTTGCTCCATTCTACATTTTTATTCATTTCTGGCAGTGATTGCAACAAGAAATAAGTCAATCTGACCTTCAGGATGTTTTTGCACTTTAAAGGCGTGATATTTTTCAGTAAATAGTAAATTAGGAAGATGTTGTGCACATTATTTATGGTACTGGGTTCTTCAGTGCTGTATAATTCAACATGTTTGTAGGCTATTCGTTACATTACTTATGAAAATTTCATAAAGTACTTTATTCCTTTTTAAAAAAACTGGTTTGCAGAAGAAGAAAACAGTTTTGTGCACTTTTCTCCTTGTTTATTCCATATAAGAAAGGTCTTGGTGGATTAACAGTATCTGTTACCTTTCAAAAGAAGAATTCAGGTTTCTTTTGCAATGAAAGACTTGTGAGATTGCTAAAGAGCTAAATATGGCACAGATGGAGACATCAGAATATGGGCAACTAAGAGCAAAAGAAATATTCAGTTAGAATATTTCTAAATATCTGTTATATATTTAATGAACAGGTAGTGGGCTGAGTATCTTTAAGATGCACCATCAGCATCTTTAAATTAATATGCTGAATTTTAAATGGATATACTCCAAGAATAGAACAGCAAAATTCCTGGAGATTAAATTGTACTTTCCTGATTTTTTTCTGGGGTATTACAGAAATACGAGTAAGAAATGCAAAGAAAAGTAAAACAGAAAAAAAATTCAACCCAAATATAAAAGTTCTTAACTTAAAATATGAAGTTCTTAACTTTTTGATGTACCCTGCAATAAACAAAGGATCATAGAGTTGTTTAGATTGGGAAAGACCTCTAAGACCACTGAGTCCAGATGTTAACCATGTCCACAAGAGCCACATCCACACATCTTTTGAAGACCAGCAGACATGGTGACTCTATCCCTTTTCAAAACAAGAAAACACAATATTGTTATTTAAAACAAACACAATGAATTTCTTTCACAATGACAGAGACAGTCTGTGGTTGAAGGAACTGGTTTTCCTGTAAGAAATAACACTGTCAGCCAAAAATGGAGTTGGGAATTGGGGTGGAGGCAGCTCAAAGACCTGAAGTTGTGCAATCACATTTCCTTGGTCTGCACATTTTTTAGGTGTTGAAACACCAGCCCTGTTTAAGGGGGGAGTGTGTGTGTGACTTTGGGAGGGTGAGGGCTCGCCACCAGCCCCCAGCAGGGAGAAATTGCTCTTCTACATCACATTCCAGTTACCAAACCCATCCAATCCAATCAGACTGTCAGAGCAAGCCATGGGGTCGACAAACATCTGACAGGCTGAAACTGCTGGATTTGGAAATGCTCATTCAATTATAAGAATTTTGGCTAAAGGAGGTGCTGGAGATGTGTGTCCCCCTTGCTGTAGCCGAGGTCTGTGAAGGGGAGCAGCATCTTTTGGTCATGCTAGCAATCATGTCCATAAAAAGCGATCTCTGGCAGCAGATAGTTCTGCTTGGTGCTTCTGGAGCCCCAGACTTGTCCCCAGGAGGTTCAGGACGGTTGTCACACCCACCACCACCTCTACCTCTGATATATTCTCTGGACAGCATTAGTTGAGCTGGCAGGTAATTAATTTTCTTGTTTCTTATTAATATAGATCCCCATGGCTGGGATAATGAATGTTATCCCTTCAGTCATACCCTAAAAGGCCAAGTTCAATAACTGTCAGAGCTGAGTCACCTTCTCCCACTGTGGTTTGCTCCAGAGGAAATCCAAGTGATGCTGATATAAGTTCCTGCTGAGAGCAGTGTCAATATCTATTAATGATTAAATAGATCTTGGGGTTGATTTGAAAAGAAAACTTTGTTGCTGCAAGTGCAGTAATGAGAGTAGATGGAAATGAACTTGAGAAGGATATTGTGTTTAAAAAGGAAAAATCAGGGCTAGAATTCCAGAACATGCAGAGTTGGAAGGGACCCACAAGGATCATCCAGTCCAACCCTCAGCCCTGCACAGGACAGCCCCAAGAGTCACCTCCTGTGCCCCAGAGGATCATCCAAACCCTCCTGCAGCTCTGGCAGCCTTGGGGCTGTGCCCACTGCCCTGGGGAGCCTGGTCAGTGCCAACCACCCTCTGGGGGAAGAACCTTTCCCTGAGATCCAACCTGAGCCTGCCCTGGCACAGCTCCAGCCATTCCCTGGGCCCTGAAGAATCCTCCTGATTGTCTGTAACAAAAAGGATTTTCAAAAGCAATTCCTGCTTTCCTCATTGTGTCCAATTTGAAATCAAAGGCTGTTTTGCCACCACCCTCACCGAACTTTCTGCTCCAATCCTTTGGAAAACTCTGGGAAAACAGAAACAGCTGGCTGTGCTCCTGACTCTTCTTCTTTCTTTCTCAGATGTTCCTGATCCACCAGAAGACCTTCAGCTCTCTGAACACCAGAACCGAAGCATTCGACTGTCCTGGAGAGCTGGGTCCAGCCACAACAGCCCTGTTAATGGTAGGAGGGGTTTTTTAGCATCCTCTCATGCTGTTCTTCATTCTGACACTGTGTGGCCATTTCAAGAAACAAACCCTGCTCACAGCCCTCCTTAATCCACTTGGCTACGCCACTTAATTTGCTGTAAGTTGTTCTGAGATAGTTCTAAGCTGTTTATGCAAGCTCTGCCTTTTTTTTCCTTCTCTTTTTGTTCCTTTTCCTGCTCAGAGTCCATCGTAGAGTTTGAAGAGAACCGGTGGGAGCCAGGGAGGTGGCAGGAGCTCACCAGAATCCCAGGGAATGACACCACGGCCGTGCTGTCCCTGTCCCCGTACGTGAATTATCAGTTCCGTGTCGTGTCTGTGAACGCTGTGGGAAGGAGCCAACCCAGCAAACCGTCCCTGCGCTACTCAACGCCCCCAGCTGGTAAAAGCTCCTCTCTAATTTCCTGACTATTACCATTTTTAGTGTTTTTTTCAGCGTTTTCTGTGCCCTCCTGTTCTTCAGGGGGGTGAAGGAATCAAGGTCACCCGTGCTGCTTTCGGTGGCAGCTCAAAGGATTATTAAAAGTAGGTTATGTGGTGGGAAACACCCACAGCTGGTCCAGTGGCCTGAAATAACCCTCAGCGTGTTTGGAGGGGCAGGTGACCGCTTTAAATAACTTTATTAATGAAAGTAGCACGTTTTCAGGGAAATGAAACGAACTGGAGAATGTCTTATGACAAGCCATTGTCATACATCTTCTGCTGTTTTATAAATGAATAATAATTAGATGGGAGCCATGCTGGGATGAATTCTTCAGTGACTGGTAAAAACAGAGTAGCCCAGCAGTTGCACATTAAGTGTCCAGGCGCAGTTTCAAGCATTTGGTGTGTAGTTAAAGCAAATCTAAATTTTAATGACCCAACTTTCTGTGCTAGATAAAATTCCAGAGGGAAGAGTCCAGGCTGCTGTGTTTTTCCTACCTCTGGCACCCTACTCTGCTGATTTTCCACCTTTAAAGCCCTTGGCAGCCCTTCATGGACAAGCTGCTGGAGAAGAGCTGGGTTTACAGGGAGCCTTTCAGCAGCACTGAGCTTGTCAAAACTCTCCATTCACGGAGCGTTTCACTGTGGCAGAAAATGTTGTCTCCCTGCAAGTCATTTCAGAGGCCAACTGTTCAGCACAGCATTTGCATTCCTTGGCATTTCTCTTTTTCTTTTTTTTTTTTTTTTAAGCCTCTTTACTTCAATTTCAGGTCCTTCTTCAGTTTTGTGCGTGTCCCACTAATGATCCACCTTCTGTTTGCTGTCCCCACAGGGAGAGAAATCTCGTCCTCATAATCCCCCTACATCTGGTGCTTTCCAATCCAAAAGTCACAGCTCCATGTTAGCTGGTGGCTCCAACCAACAGGGGCACTTAGGAATCAAAACTGCATAAACAATGTGTTTTGGTCACATCAGCTCTGCTGATGCCAGTAATTAATCTCACAAGTGGGTTTTTTTTGTGTAGATGTCTTTCACTAATAGAGACGTAAGAAATTTTTGCATTTAAATACTAAATGGAAATAAAGCCTAGGATATGCAGACTAACCTTGTCACCTGTATGGTTCCAGCTCCAGACAAGAACCCAGAAAACATCCGAGTTGAGGCTTCTGAACCCAATGAAATGGTGATGAAATGGGAGGTAAGGAAAACGTATCTGTAAATGCTACAATATTGGAAACAGGTTTGATGATGTAATTGCATCAAAAAGGAGGTGGCACTCTCTCCATTCCTTGGATTTGAATGGGATTTTTGCCATGTGACACAGCCCAGGGTCAGGCAGGACAATCCCACCTCTCAGAAAAGGTTGGGCTTGATGACCTCGGAGGTTTTTTCCAACCTTAAGGATTCAGGGTGGTAATACCCAGTATTTTTACTGGGAAATGCTGGTATGACTTCCTTGAGCAGAACCAAGTTCTGCTCCTCCCTGGGAAGCCTTTAATCACTGCTCAGACTGGGCAGAAGTGGAAGTGAAAGCTGAGACTGAAGGCAGAGAATGGGATGGAAAGGCTTTTTTAAATCCTGTTGAATCATTAAAATGCTGTAAACAGGATATTCATTTATTTATGGAGCTTCCTGTGTGCTTTTCAGAGGAACTGCTGGGCACTGAACATGCTATTTCTGACAGAGAAAAACTGCAAAATGATGTTAATCTGCCTATTTTTGGATTAAGAGACCAGCTGAGCATTAGTGACTAGATTTTCAGCCATGGATTTGCAGCATTAAGGGAGATCAAAATACGAGTCAAGCAGTGCTTCAATTTAACTCTAAACGAGGAGTAATATTTTTGTAGGAATTTTTTTACTTCTCCCGCTTCTCTTGCAAATCCCACTCCCTGGGATCTTTGCCATGGAGGTGAATCTCACAGTGCTACCCATTAGAAAGCTGCCCAATCTACCAACTCATTTACAACACTCATCCCAAAGGTCCTCATGGCCTCAGAGCAGAGCAGTGGGAATTTTCGCAGATTGGGTGGATGAGGAGCATCAATGGGGCATCACTTTCTGCTGCTAATTGATGCCATTTCATTTCAGATCTCCGTGTGCATACTAATTATTGTGTATTTACATAGACCAGCTATTGAATATTGAATATTTACAACATATAATTTAAATATAATTAAAAGTAGTCTGTACAGTGGGAAACACCCACAGCTGTTTTAATGAACTGAAATAAACCTCAGCATGTTTGGTGGGGCAGGTGGCTATTTAACTTTATTTATTAAAGTAGGACATTTTCAGAGAAATAAACCCAACTGGAGAATGTCTCATGACAAACCGTTGCTATCCATCCCCTAATATTTAATAAATGAATGTTAATTAGAAGGGAACCATGCTGGGATGAATTCTTCAGCTGATTGGTGCAAACAGAGTGGCCCAGCAGCTGCACATTAAGTGTCCAGGCACAGTTTCAAGCATTTGGTGTGCAGTTAGAACAAATCTAAATTTTAATGACCCAACTTGCTGCGCTACATAAAATTCTAAGATAAAAATGCAAATTTTATCTTTGCTAAGAGGCACGCACAGCCGTGTGCCAAAACACGCAATTTTAGCGGTGCTGAAGGCATGCGGTTTTACCTCACACAAGGAAACCTGTGGCAAAACAAAACCTGATGCATGTAGGATGCAGAAATGTGTCTACTAACAATTAATCTGGTTTTAATCCAGCTGTTTCTCTGCCTTTCACCCACATCAATGCCACGACTTCTCTTGGAGCGGTGACATCGTTCTCCCAGTCGTCTTAAAATTGACGCGGCAGCGAGAAGTTCAAGCTTTATTTTTCCTCCTTTTTCTCTTCTGACGTGTAACACACTCCCCAAAAGCATTCCCCCCCTCCCCTCAGCTGCTGTTTCATGATTGCTGCAACAAAGGCAGACAAGATCTCTTTTAACTTCTCCCACAGCCACTGAAACCCGTGGAGAGGAACGGGCCGGGGCTGGAGTACAAAGTGAGCTGGAGGCAGCGGGGGGTCAGGACGGACTGGAACGAGGAGACGGTGAAGAAACATTCCCTGACTGTGAGAAACACTCCCACCTTCGTGCCTTACGAGATCAAAGTCCAGGCAGTCAACGATTTAGGATCCGGCCCCGAACCGAACGTTACCATCGGATATTCGGGAGAGGACTGTGAGTAGGGGAGACTTTACCGTCCAAACACGCTGCAGGAGGGGATTCCTGGGATGCAAAACCATCAGATGTGGAGTGAGGGATTAGGCAGCTAAGGCTGCTGAAATGCCAGTGCCCAGTATAAGGGGCTTCAGGAGACAGGGAGACCACTGATGGTAGATGCAGTTTGCTGGAATGTGAGGGTTTTTTGGAGAGGTCACTTGTGCTTTCATTAATCTCAGTTGCTGCCTTAACCCGGGTACTTGTTTGGAGGCCACAGTCCATAAGAAGCCTATGAAATGGGCTTGGTGCTGCTCAGACAGGAGAATTCCCACTGCACACCCAGAGGTGGGAATAAGGTTTGGTTGTTCATCTTCTCTCCCCTCAGAGTGTATTTGAATAGTGAGATGGGGGGGAAAGAAACTCCACAGTATGTTTATTTTCTTTGTGTGTCTGTGATGAGTCTTATTTTATATCTTTCTCTAGAAAATATTCCTTGCAATTCAGTTGTCAATGGATCAAGGCCTCTTTTTTTTTTTTTTTTTCCAGGCACTGTAATAGCTCTCTGTGTTGCTCAGTGATTAAAATCCAACTGTTTAATGAGCTTAGTTGTAAAATGAAATCGATTATAAAAAAAAACTTTATGATTGCCTTCTTGAGTACTGTGTTAATCATTTTTTTATTCTTCTCACTGCTGTAAGCATTGCTTGAAACAGGAAATCATAAATACTGGTGTAGAAGTTCATATGTCCCAGTGCACCTGTATTCCAGCCCTCAGCAGAAAACCCTGAAATGGAAAAAAATCAAGTTTATTGGCCCATTTCACCTATTGGATGCAGGTGCAATGGCTGTTTTCTTGCCTGCAGCAAGACTGCATGAGCTGCCGCGGTTTGAGCTGGAAAGCCAAGCCCTGGAGCTGAGAGCAGTGGGAATCTGGGCTCTTGGAAGTGTCTTTAATATGTGGTACTTTTGTCCTTACAGTCCCAGATGCTGCTCCTTTGGGCGTGTCGGTGGATGTTGTGAACAGCACACTGGTCAAAGTCTACTGGTTTGGAATACCAAGGGACAGAGTTCGTGGACATTTAAGAGGCTATAAGGTTAAAAGTTTCTCTTTAAATATTTCTATGTGGTTGAATAAACTACTAAAGAAATCCCAGACCAAGGGTAACTTGCAATCTCTCATTTTTGGGAAGGTGAGGGAAATCATTCTCACTTTCAGCCCCTTACACGATTTGTTATAGAAATGCCCATCTCCATGCAGGTCAGCTGGTGGAAAACAAAAAGCATTCTGGATGGAAAGAGGCACCACCCAGAGAAACACTTCCTAACGTTTGTAGGAGACAGGAACTTTGGGATGATTCCTGGCCTGGATCCCTTCAGTGAATTCCATTTAACTGTCCTGGCTTACAACTCCAGGGGGGATGGCCCTGAGAGCTCCCCAGTGACGTTTGAAACTCCAGAAGGAGGTAAGAAAGACAAAATGGGAATATGGGATGGAGGGACCTAAAGTTGAAATTGTCCTTGTAACAAGATGAGTTGATTTGCTTATTCAAGGTGGTTGTAAAATCTCCAATATTCTTAAACCCCTTCACTAGAAAGGGGAGCTGTAGGTGTTGAGCTAAATTATATTTAACAAGCATGTGTAGGACAGACCTGTTCAATCCTCTCTGAGAGCTAATCCCTGTGTCTTCCAGTCCCTGAACAGCCACGTTTTCTGAGGATCCTGAATTTTGACAAGGACTCTGTCACTCTGTCCTGGGGACTTCCCAAGAAAGCCAACGGCCACCTTACCGGCTACATCTTGCAATACCAGATAAGTACGTGCTTGGTTTGCTTGGAGTTTGGGATCGCAGCATGACTAGTTGAATCAAAAGCACAGGTGTGATGTGCACACAGGCTGCTAGAGGGCAGGCTGAAGTCAGCTTCCAGAGCTGAAAGTTTTCCGTGCACTTTTCCCGTGTAAGCTCACATTATTGCCGTGCCTTATCCCACACTGATAGGCTAATTCAATTATTTCGCATTTGCAAATTATACTTAGCGTAGCAGTTAATAAGACCCGTAAATTGTAGCTGCATTTTACTGAAGTGAAACTCATTCAGTGCAAAATAAATTGTAATGGGAGCAGTCATAAAGCCACATTTATACAGACAACCTCAGGCAAGACCCAGTGTTGGTCCCATAACACCAGCTGTGCGGTGTGGTGACAGTTCTGGGTATTTTATATGTAATTTGAGGATTAGACTGAGCCCTATTTGCAAAAAAAAAGTAAAACCCCACGTACTTTTCATTAATCTCTGCTCGTTCTTCCTCATGACCAGGTGGAACATCCTGGGCATCACTTTCTGCCCATTGCCTCTTGCCCTATTGCTTGGTACCACCGAGCAGAGCCTGGTCCCTCCTCCTGGCACCTCCCTGCAGATATTTATGTGTATTTACAAGACCTTCTCTCAATCTTCTCACAGCCCCTCCTCCAGCTGCCCTGTGTGCCGAGGCAGAGCAGAGCACAGCAGAACAACCACCCTCTAACTCGCTTGTAAAAGTTTGCAGCTGTTTGGAAGCAAAGCAAGAAGCAATTCATATATATTTAATGATCCAGGAGACAGTAATTTTTCCCTCCCACTCAGGATGTGCATATCTGGAATCAGAAGAGCTTTTTAAGAACAGTAATAGCTCAGTGAGTAGTTGAGGGATTGACATGGAGGATATAAATCCCATTTAAGTCCTGGCAGGAAGGTGAGATGCTTATTCAGGATTTATCCATCGCACTCACTGCAGTGCCTCCCTCACAGGAGCGTTCACGGCACGTTTCATGCTGGAAACAGGCACAGAAATGGTTGAGGGAGGGGATTGTCCCACTCTGCTCTGCACTGGGGCAGCCCCATCTGGAATATTATGGCAGTTTTGGGCACCACAATATAAGAAAGATATGAAGCCATTAGAGAGTGTCCTAAGGAGGTCAAGAAAGATGAGGAAGGGCCTTGTTTTGAAGTTGTGTGAGGACACTGAGGGCACTTGGTGTGTTCAGCTGGAGAAGAGGAGACTGAGGGGAGACCTCCCTGCAGTTCCAACTGCCTGGGCAGGGGCAGAGGAGGGGCAGGACTGAGCTCTGCTCTGGGGGGAGCAGGGACAGCCCCCAGGGAATGGCTGGAGCTGTGTCAGGGCAGGCTCGGGGTGGATCTCAGGGAAAGGTTCTTCCCCCAGAGGGTGGTTGGCACTGAACAGGCTCCCCAGGGCAGTGGGCACAGCCCCAAGGCTGCCAGAGCTGCAGGAGGGTTTGGATGATCCTCTGGGGCACAGGGTGGGACTCTTGGGGATGGGTCTGTGCAGGGCTGAGGGTTGGACTGGATGATCCTTGTGGGTCCCTTCCAGCTCAGCATATCCTGTGATACAGAACAAGTTGGGCAAGGGGGCACAGCCTTGAGCTGCACCAGGGCAGGTTTAGGTTGGACATCGGGAAGAAGTTCTTTACAGAGTGCTCAGACACTGGAATGGGCTGGTGGAGTCACCATCCCTGGAGGTGTTTAGGAACAGGCTGGACGTGGCATCAGTGCCATGGGCTGGGTGACAGGGCTGGGTTGGGTCACAAGCTGATCCCAGAGGCCTTTTCCAGCCTGGCTCATTCCGTGATTCCGAAGCTCTGACCCAGCTCCTCTTCCCTTTGCAGTCAACGAGACACACGAGGTGGGCCCCGTGAGCGACGTGGGCCTCACAAACCTCTCCACGCTCAGCTGGAGGCTCTCAGGGCTCAGCCCCAGCACCAAGTACAAGTTCTACGTGAAGGCCTGCACGGCCAAGGGCTGTGGGAAGCCCATCTCTGAGGAGGGACTCACCATGGCCCAAGGGAGTAAGTTCACAGGCAGTACGTTTTTACGGGGAGAGGCTCTACCAGTAATGGGAAAATCCGTGGGGAATATTCCAGGCCTGACGTTCCCTTTGTAATTGGAGGGGAAATAAATTTGTTTTTTCTTTCCGTGAGGAACGATCGATGAACTTCTTAATGCAGCCATGCAGCTCTTGAGAAAAGCAGAGCTCATCTGTTCCGTTTTGCTGTGCAGTCCTGTTTCTGTTCCCACCAATCGAGTCTTTAAGCCTTACCAGAACGAGTGAATTGCATTTAGTCACGAGCTGAAAATTGAAGATGCAGATAATCTGTTCTCTGTAATAGTACAGAAACAAATTCTACCCTTGCATGAGGATGGGTGACTTCCAGCAGCATTGGGGTCAGCTGCTTGACGTGGAAAACCCAGGTGAATGTGGAGGTGACTGCACCGTATTTGATCCACTATTTATGATTATTTTATCAGGGGCTGGGAGCGAACATTTGTGTGCCACTTACAGCCTGTCCTGAAACACTGATGTTTAGTGATTTAAAGGAAAATGGCAAGCACTGTGTGAGAGCTCATCTTTCACATTCAGCTAAAATGAAATAAAGTGTTCTGTGCTCAGCAAGTCTGAGAGCTCCACAACACCGAGTTCATCAGAAACCATTGCTGGGCATTTACCATGGGGAAGGGGAAGGAGAACGTGATAAGCAAAAGAGTCTGTGGGATGAGAATGTTGCCATTTCCTCATTCTCATTCTCTTCTTTCCTCAGACTTTTTTCCAGCAGTGGCAACAACTGATTCTTGTTGCTCTTGGAATAGAGTGGGATAATTAATAAAAGCTGCAAGGGTCCAGTTCTGTGATTTATGTGCTCCTGGCTGGTTCTCAAGCCACCCTAAATTAGGGCACTGCATCTGTCACTGAGATGCCATTAGAGTTCTGTGTCATTATTTGCTGGCTAAATTGTTCAGATATTTTTCAACTGAACATGAGAGGCTGGGAAAAGAAATAATCCCTCTTTTCAGTGACCTTCTTGGGGTTTTAAGCTGTGGTGTGGGAAGGGAGGCAATTGCTCAAAATTAAAACAATCTCTCTTTTTGAAGAAAGGGAGTGATTTCAGAAGTCAAAGTTTATCATTCAAAATGACCCACATAAATGACAGATATAAAATGTGGTGCCCTCTGAAATGAAACTCTGTGATAGAGCACTTTGGGGTTTGATTCAGGGATTCTATATCCACTGTGTTCCAGTTTAATAATAAAACCATAAAGCTCTCCTTGTTCATTTTAAGGCTTTGAATAACTTCCCCCTGCTGTAATACAGCCTTTACCAGGGGTATTTCAGAATTTCACAATACATGCTGCTAGGGAAGTGCAGATGTTGAGGTGGAAGCTCTGCATTCATTCCCATTTTATCACTGATATGCTTCATCTGCTATTGATTTCATTTATTTGGAGCTACCTCTGTTATTTTAGTCTGGAATCAGAAATAAAAATCCATCTCTTTTTTTTTTTTTAAATATGTACATATGTGAGCATGATTGGAGCCCCACTGAAAACAAGGCTGTGCAGGGGAAATTGCTTTGCTCTACATTATAATTTTTCCAGCCTGTAATTTATGTGGAAACCGTTTCCCAGTGATGATTTTGCAGTGGCAGGAATGGCTGAATTTAGTAAAAAAAGTTTACATCAATTAAATAAATATAATTCTCTGTATAGATAAAGGGGTAGAAGCAGAGAATCATTTAGGTAGGAAAAGTACTTCAGGATCAACCCAGGCTCACATCACATTTCTTCATAAAAGGCCTTTTTCCTATGACAGATCCTAAACATGGCCAAAATAACTCAGCTATGAAACCCTGATAGGCTACCCAAGATCTGTTGATAAAATATAGTGGGCAATCATGAGGAATCTGGGCAAAAGGATACTTGCATTGTACTGCAAAATGAAGAAGAGTTTAATTTTTGTGGCTTCATCTTAGTTTCATTCCACAAGAGAAAGTGTGGTGTTTTAAGAAAATGAGATTTTTCTCCATCTTTACATTTACAGACATTATTTCTCAAATGACCTACAAACTAATTAATTTATCCTTGAAAATGCCCATTTCCCGAGGAACATCGGCCCTCAGAAACATCACACAAAATAATGTGCTTCCATAAGTGAAGAAAAATAATTTAATATATCAAAGCTGCTTTTCATCTTGTTACCAGTGTTTCTCGAGGATTACTGAACGTGGATTACACATTGAGAATTATCTCTGTGTGTCCAGAAATTCAAACATTAATGAAAAATTCAGGCAGAGGAAGCCTTCCAATCGTAGCTTTATTTTCCAGAGGAGCCAAGAAATAGAGTTTCACCAGTTTTATTACATTTCAATCGCAATGGGCACATAACTTCTAAAGGGTTTTTTTGAAAATCTTAGCCAGAGGTTACTATTTTCCTTCATGACTGGAGTAACTATTTGTAACAATGCTCACAATCCAGAGAACACAGTGAAATCTGGGTGAAAATTTCTTGATCACTAACTCACCTCTAAATTCTTCTCAATAGACTTGGTGTACAACAGGCTCGCTCCTCTCTATATTTTAAAATAACCCCAATTTAGCATGAATTACTTCCTGTACTAAAAAAGCCCAGGAGATGAAGGATGCTTGGGATGCATATTTATACACTTTTAACAGCCAGACAGCAGGAGAAAATTAATGAAAGTTCAACTTTCCGGATGTATTCAGACAGGTATGGATATAAACGAAGATGCTGCCCACAATTAGTATTTAGCCATTAGGCTACCAGCTTTTTTTATCTAAGCCTGTTTTATAACAGATGTGCTAACTTTTGGAGAACTAGCACTCTTGGAAGTCTTTGGGGGTGGTTTCTGTTGTTTTTCCCTTTATACCATAAGCTTCTATAAAAAATGTGCGTTGTGTTGTTCTCATAAATCTTGAAGCCCGGCAGGAATATTGTAAAATTGCAGTTCAGTGTTTAATGTTCATGCAAGTCCCATGGTATGGCTGATAAATAGTGGGGGAAGATGAAAAGTGCTGGTGATATGCCTTTATTACTAATGCTCCTTCTCCCTTATTGGAGATTAAAATCCTCACCCAACTGCTTTCAATTTTCTGAAGCAAATTCCTGCAGCTCTCTGGCCTTCCAGGACGTGGAGCTTTTCCTTACCTGTGTATCTTTGCTTTTATTTTTCAGGATCCCAAACTTCTTTTCCTATTCCAGCCCCAAACCTGCCCCAATCAGCCAAGCTTTCTCCTCTGTAGGTCCTGTGTTGAGCGTGTAACACAGAACACAAGAAATGGCATGGAAAGAAACCTCATAATCCCTCATCAGTGGACACCTGTTCTGAGTTTTAAGGGAAAAAAAATCAGTGTTTTGGGACAGGTGATGGTAAACAGGCTGGAGATCCATTGGCAAATCCCCAGTCCCAGCTCAGGTTGGGCTCCAACCTCATCCCAGTACGTTCATCCCAGCCCTGTGCTGCTCCACGTGCCAGGGCAGTGGCACAGCTGGAGGATCTGATACAGCTGAGCAAAAATTGGGCAGAAAAAGGGGTATTTTCCAGCCCTATCAGCTCCCATTTCTGCTTCTGCAGAGAGCTGATCATTCAGAAAGAAGAGGTTGGCACAAATGTTTTATGGTATTTAGCAGACATTGGGGTTGAAGGTCTATGTTCATTCATGTTACTTTGTGGGTAATATTTCCATTAATTACATTTTTCTGATGCCTCAATTTTAGAGCATGTAATTAAAAATATACCTGTGGTATCCTGTTGCTTAATTTGCAGTTTGGTTAAAAATTATAGCTGGGTTTCACATACTTCATTTAGCAAAAAATTACCGATAGATGGATTAATTTATGCTAATGAGCTGTGCTTCAGTATCATCAGTATTTCAGCTGGATGTGTTCTCTCTGGGTCCCAGTGGGCTACTAATTTAACTGCTTATTGTAAAACATGTAGAGTTGCCTTGGAAAACTTATCTTGAACTGCTGCTTTGACTGTGCTTGGATTTGTCTTAATCTTTTTGGTTTTTTCTCCCTTCAGCTGTCAACTCAGCCCTAATCTCCAGCAGCTTCTTGCTTTGCTTGTTCACTAGTTGAAGTATTAATGAGCATTGTTTTACTGTCACTGATAATTGGCAGAGTAGATTTCAAGTTATACTGTGTGCCCCATGCTTAGTTCAGACCACTCAGGATAAAACAGGTGAACTGGGCAACTGAGAACAATTAAAGAGCTACTTTTATCAAGTGCAGCCCTCCAGTCTCTCTCCTGCCATCGAGGACAGAGACACTCCCTTGTTGTCCCCCTTGGTTGATTTCTCATCTCTTAATCATCTATTAAACTCATCAGGAACATTTAAATGCCTACATACCAGAATTTAAAAGCCAACTCCTGCTATAATGAAAGGAGGCGTTGTGGAGTTTAAAAGGACATGGAAAACTACTGTCAGGAGAGAAATGAGAACAAATCCCGATGTTATTTCTTTCTGTGAGACATATAAGAATCCATATCCAGATAACAAGCTGTCTGTGCTTCCCTGCTGAGCTCAGTTCAATGGGAGAAGCATCAAACCCCAGATTATCTTTACACAGCGAGCCCTTTTGCAAGTTGTAATTTTTAAAGCGTGCATTAGTTAAAGCAGATCCATAATTCCCCATCAATATTAACTCTCATCCTGGGAGATGTACCAACCCCTCCACAAACATCAGGATTACTTCACTCAGCTGTTTATTTCATCTGCTGGAATATTAAAAATCAAACGGGGGGCAACGTTCAGTTTTGTTTTCTTGGAGAAATCAAATTGCCCGGTGACGAACGTTAAAAATCCTCGTGTGTGTGTGTCTCCTACCTGTGTGTTCTTTGCCTTGTTTGTAAGTGTGTGCATTTCACAGGCCTCCTGCTGGATGAATCCCACTAATCCATGTGACTTGACTGTGTGAATTCCGTAGGTAAAGGGGCCGGCAGGATTTCAGACGCGGTAAAACCCACCCAAAAGTTTCACCCCGTTGAGGCCCTTGAGCCTGGAACTGAGTACACAGTCCGTCTAGTGACTAAGAACTGGGTTGATAACAATAGCATTTTTGAAGATGTAATTGAGACAAGGGGGAGAGGTGAGCCATGAAACCCTTCCAGGTGATAAACATTCTGACCGTGACTCGGTGTTGAGGTTCCATCTGATGTTCGTGCAGTGAAAGTGTTCCAAAATCGTCATTTTCATCCGTGATTCGCAAGTTGGCCCTTGCAGTTGAATCCCACGGGAGCACAGACACATCTGAGGTTCTCTGCTGATTCCTGGGCATTACTTGATGCACTGGAACCATCCTAGACCTTTGCAAAGCAGCTTTCCCTCCTGTGTGAAGTGGAAGGGGTAGTGCTGTGATATAATCCATCTGAAGTGGCCAGTCTGGTGATTTGCATGTACTGGGGGCACTTTTAACTCTCTCTCCTTCGCAAAACTGCTTTTGCATGAGAGGCTTAACAACTCTCTGCTCAGCTTTGCTGTGTGGTGTTAATCCTGTGAGTCAACTGCTCTCTCAGAACTACCTTTCTGAACTGTCTGTGCTGTGCCTTGTACACTCCGTGTTCCCCTTAAATCCAAAAATGCCACTCTCTGGACGTGTTTCTGCCTTGCATTTAAGTAGAACACCATCAGTATTGACAGACTGGTTCAATTAGGATCCAGCACAGAGCATGTGATGTATTCATGTTATCACAGGGTGATGCCCCTTTTCCTCCGATTAATTTTCTTCCTTTTTTTGCTCCTCTTCCATTTCCCCAAGCCTATGCTGGAATTTATGATGGGATTTCCACCCAGGGCTGGTTCATTGGACTGATGTGTGCCATAGCTCTGCTCACCCTGCTGCTGCTCACCATTTGCTTCGTCAGGAGAAATAAAGGAGGAAAATATTCAGGTAAATGGATTTATTGTCCTTTTTGCTGTTTTCACATGTTAATAACAAACATCCTTCAGCCTTTTCTCTCTGGGGGCAACAGAGCCTCCAGCACAAACATCCAATTAGGATTTGTAGCTTTTGATAAATATCCACAGAACGGATTTTAATGAATACAAGTGAAACTGTGCTCTCTGGGTGAGACAGTGCTGTGTGCTGGCCAGAGAGCTGGCCAAGGCCTTTGACTGAATCTTCCTTGAATCTTCCAGCATTTAATCCAGCCAAAGTTCCTTGTTGGCAGGGCTCCCTGCTCACTTCCCACCTGATAAGTGCTGCTTGACACACTGACAGAACTCCCACAGGAAGCCAAACTTTTAAAAAAAGAGAATATTTTGTTAGAAAGAGAATATTTTGTTAAAAGTAATGCTGTGATTTTTAAAGAAATGAGTTAGGACTTAATTCTAAGTATTGAAGTGAAAATCTGGTTGCCCAGAGAGGTGGTAGATTCTCCAGCCCTGGAAACATTCAGTGCCAGGTTGGACAGGGCTTGGAGCAGCTTGGGCTGGTGGAAGGTGTCCCTGCCCATGGCAGGGGGTGGCACTGGATGGGCTTTAAGGTCCCTTCCAACCTAAACCATTCCAGGATCCTAAAAAAACACTCGCCAGCTTTTAAAAAATTAGGGAACATCCCCCAACTCTTGTGTGTCCAGCCAGCTCCAGGTCAGGCTGTGGGTGATGACAGGAGGTTTTCCCAATTCGTCTGGGAAAACAAAAAAGTCCACGTGGGAACACGACACACAGATCTGTCCTTTATTTTATTTGCACAGTGAAAGAAAAAGAAGATTTGCATCCAGATCCCGAAGCTCAATCAATAAAAGATGAAATCTTTGGGGAATATAGGTAAATAGGACCTGCTTTCCCAAGCATTTGTGTTTGTGGGGGTTTTGTTTGTTTTCCAAATGCCATCATTATTTGGGACATTTTTCTAGCATGCAATTAATGCTGTTTTTTTTTTTTTTTTTTTAATTTTCAAAGCCAACTTCATAGGAGTGGATAAGAGTAGGAATATAAAGGTATATCCACTATACTTCAGTCCATCCAAGCTGGGATATGAGAAAATGTTGATGAATTGGTGGTTA